TTTCAATGTTTTATTCAATGGTGTAGTTTCCAAAAAAGTGACAGATTCCCTTTAAGACATCAAAATGAACTCATAAATATATACATGAATGAATGACCTCGTAGCTGTATAAATTGCCATCAGGCACACTGCTAAACTAAAACAAATAATTAAATAATTTGGGGAGAAAAAACATACAGATCCCAGGCTGGAGACACATATTCACTTCATGAGGAGTAGTGAAGTTTTATCCATCCATTCATGTTAATGAAGTGGCCTGGGTACCGTTGTCCTGTCATTATAACCTTGCAATGGAAAATATTGAAGTTTGTTTTAGAAACTGCAAAGTTTAAATTGCAGGATTAAACGTACCTCTAGCATACCTCCCAATATCAGCACTCCCAGAATCGTGACGCAAGTGGGAGGGGAGTAAATAGGGCGGGCCAGTGACACGATGGCAAAAGGAAGTGGATCTGCACGAAAACAGGGCAGACCTGCCCAAAAAGGTGATGTGTCTGCCCACATTACTGGCAGGTCATCTTGGTGTGAATACACACTAGACTGCCAACCAATCATTTTAGCCAGTCCACTGAGGACACAGCATGCAGGGAGCGTTTTTTTTATAAATGTAAGAGACTTTACTCTTGTTTAAATGTTTACATTTATTCTTCATCGGTAAATGGAAACAAAGTATTTCACTATATACGATGTTCAGTGGACTAAACATCAATTGTAGCATTTTAGTAACTAGAAAAGTTACAATTTCAGGGGAAATTGTGTGAAGTGTTCTTGCCTCCACCTGTAGTCTACAACTGGAGTGGGCGGAGTAACTGTTATCATTTACATAGCACATTTGATTGCAACAGTTACATTAAACCATACATTTATAAAAACATTAGCAGGTGTTCAAAAGGCCCTGTCTATGACATCACTTGCTGCTGCAGCTTGACACAGGTCAGAGTATTTTGGCGGTTGCCATCTTCAAACGGTCGTATCTTAAAAACTATAACTCCTACAGTGAAGAGCTTTATATTGTGAGAATCACAAGACCCAGACCTACATTTTGATGCATAGTATGTCTCTGAAGTATTAAAATTGAAGGCACAGTCGCAGTTTAGAAATTGCACTTCAAATTTGAGCTTTGCAGAGTGAAGTTTCAATTAAAGTCAATGGACGGCGTTAGTTGCAAACAAATGATTATATTGTGAAAACTATCAGGACTATGGCTTAGCCGTTGACATGTTTAGTGGCAGCAGGGATAGCTGAACGTTTTGATATAAGATTTGTGTAGGTGGGCCTGAAAATAAGGGAGTGGTGGCAGTTTAGAAATCATATCCTGATTTTTCAGCTTTTGCCAGCTCCCACTCTAGCTTTGCCATTCATTCCTATGGGACAAATTTCGCCACAAGAACGACGATATTCCGTGAACCATTCGGCGAAACGTTCCACAAAGTAATAGCAATCCGATCGGGAAAAATCTGCACGTTTTGGTAAATTTTTGTCTATGTAGTGTAAAAACTGTGGGAGGAGTTAGGGTGGCAAATTTTGCTATAATAATAATAATAATAACTAGAAAAGCTACAATTTCTGGGGAAATTGTGTGAAGTGTTCTTGCCTCCATCAGTAGTCTACAACTGGAGTGGGCGGAGTAACTGTTATACTTTATTTAGCACATTTAATTGCAACGTTGTTGCACAGTTACATTAAACCATACACTTATAAAAACATTAGCAGGTGTTCAAAAGGCCCTGTCTATGACATCACTTACTGCTGCAGCCTGACACAGGTCAGAGTAGTTTGGCGGTTGCCATCTTCAAACGGTCGTATCTTAAAAACTATAACTCCTACAGTGAAGAGCTTTATATTGTGAGAATCACAAGACCCAGACCTACATTTTGATGCATAGTATGTCTCTGAAGTATTAAAATTGAAGGCACAGTCGCAGTTTAGAAATTGCACTTCAAATTTGAGCTTTGTAGAGTGAAGTTTCAATGAATGTCAATGGGCGGCGTTAGTTGCAAACAAATGATTATATTGTGAAAACTATCAGGACTATGGCTTAGCCGTTGACATGTTTAGTGGCAGCAGGGATAGCTGAACGTTTTGATATAAGATTTGTGTAGGTGGGCCTGAAAATAGGGAGTGGTGGCAGTTTAGAAATCATGTCCTGATTTTTCAGCTTTTGCCAGCTCCCACTCTAGCTTTGCCATTCATTCCTATGGGACAAATTGCGCCACAAAAACGACGATATTCCGTGAACCATTCGGCGAAACGTTCCACAAAGTAATAGCAATCCGATGGGGAACAATCTGCACGTTTTGGTAAATTTTTGTCTATGTAGTGTAAAAACTGTGGGAGGAGTTAGGGTGGCAAATTTTGCTATAATAATAATAATAATAATATATATGTGAGATAACATTAAGTGGTCTTGCTATGCAAGAACACTTAATAATAATAATATATATGTGAGATAACATTAAGTGGTTAAATGATGGAGCAAATATAATAGAAGCCCTCTTGGGTCTATCTCTAGTATTTTGCTTATGCCCAAGAGATTTGTCTATTCAGGATAGGTAATAAATTAAGTCCTTCAAATTCTCTGGAAGATCTCTGGTGACTACTTTGTCTAATATACTATCAGACAGACCGTTCAGAAAATCGTCAACAAATGCCTGATTATTACAGTGTATTTTTGCTGTTATAGATACAAATTCTAAGGTGTAATCACCTGTAATCAACCAAAGATCTATTACCTTGTTTCAAGCAAACAAGGGGGTACTGGCTGCATTACATTTCCTACAGGGGGGATCAAATGCCCTCAAAGCACCAACAAAAGTCACATAATTATAGATTAATCATTTTCCCACAAAGGGTTACCCCACACCAATGACTTGTCTTATAACAAACTCTATTTTGGAGGACCATGTGGAAGTTTCTTAACAGTCTGCAGGCCTCCCACATGATGTTTTGCAGCAGGCAATATACAAGGTATCCTCACAAATATGCACAACTGTTTTACGAGAGAAATCGGTCTGTGTTCTAGATACTTCCTGATAACTATTCAGTCAGATAACACTCTCATACTGACACTAAAAAAAACAAAACGAAAAAACTAAAACAAAAAACGACTGCAAATAATATATTGAATTGAGGTAGTTTTCATCCTCCCTTTTTTAGAAAACAGGTGTATTTGTCGCACAGTACTTGCGATGCAATTGTTCCTCTGATGAGAATTTTAAAATGAAATCATGCCAACATAGATGAGCTTTTTGTGAAGTGGTATCGTAACAGGTGCCTCAAGAAAGCCTATGTGAGGGCCCTGAAAACAGAGACGAATTATTGTAGGTTCCCCCTATAAATCTCAGATTATTAGATGCATTGGGGCATATGTCTCAAATACTGGTCGCTACTAACCAGTGATTTTTGTCTGAGAGATGTTATTATTTCACAAAATGCAGGACCACCCTTAGTAGCCTGGAGGAACACTATATTAGGGATCTTTTATATATCAGACGGCAGCTTTAAAAATCAGCTGTGTGATGTAAAAAGAAAACAAAACCACTATTAAGTTGCAGCCCCTCAAATACCTGTAGACAACCAGGGATAAAGAACCTCACATCTAGATCTTCAGCAATGCCCCCTTGCAATTCCATTGCATTTAAGTTAGTCTCTTTTGTTAGCAATCCTTATGCACAGTAATAATAAAATGACCTCTGTTTGTGGACAATCACAATGAACAAATGATTACTGATTACAAAGGAAGAATAATTATTTGAGGAAGAGAAAGTTTATTAAGTGGAAACAAAGGCCATTTTGAACATAGAGATAAATGTGGAAAAGGATATGGAGCTGGGTTCCATATTAAAAGCAGAAGATACATTATTGACTTTCAGTGAGGAGAAATGAAAAGAGACAAGACAGTAAAACCCCTAAAGGGAGTTTTCAACAAAGGGATAAGAGCTAGCTCACAGCAGACATGTAGTGGGTGGGGATTTATTGTGATTCAACAGAAACGCACAGATACAATTTAGTAAACTGTAAAGCATTCACTGGATGCAGAGTTCAGCAACATAAATTATACTCACATTACCCACAATAGATAGATAGTAGTTTTTTCAATATGCACATTGGTTAACAAGGTAGGTAACACCCCAATAAGACCTTGGAAACCAAATGGATTAAAAATATTTTCGTGGAGTGGGCATGGAGAGTTTCATTTATTTCAAAATCCATGCATTATGCAAAAAAACTATGGTATTACTTTTTACATAAGGCTTTATCAGTATCTCGTTTAGCCTACATCTACTGTGTAATTATACTAAGATAGATATTTAATCTATCTTTATCTTATACAGTATGTGAACGCATGACCACACTTTTATTTTTCTAATAATAGCCACAAATAGATTCCATATCAACCGTAAATTCAATTTCTAGTTTTGTCAAAATAGATTCTAAAATTTAATGGGTCAGAGAGACAAATTATGTTGAACAGCTTTCCCTTCATGATCAGGTTTTGTTTTGCCCAGAAATTGTATTTTATTCAAAATATTTTTCCTTTACATAAACCAGTTAAAGCAGTGAGGAAACACGCAACAGACAGTTTTTGGCTGGAATTTTGCAAATCACTTTTTAGCTCACTGGAATTTTGGTGGTGACTAGACTCCAAAGATAACATGGATTAGTAAAAAAAATAAAAAAATATATCGTGGCAATATACTTTTTAATATTTAAGTACCAGTCAGTTTACTAAAATGTTCTCAAAGGAAGTTAAAACTGGAGAACACCACCATTTAGAAAAACAGGTTTAGAACCTTCTTTATGTTACCGCAAGTTATGTGTCTACCTGTGTGCTCTGAGCTTTAAAAGGAAATGTGAATAATGAAGGGTTTTGATGTTACATTTAAAACTTGTTGTCTACTGTGAGTTGTGACATAAATACAAAACCAGTTACCATTTTTGTGCACCTCATTTCCTGTTTAAAGCAGAATCTTGCAAGATCACTAGAACTAGAATCTATTATCTGAGAAGGAAAAACTATTGCGTGGTGCAAGGTCTCCTCTTATTGTTCTGCAAATACAGGCAACTACTCCTAAAAATACACAAACATGTTTGAAGGTAAGCAGATTTCATTATTCCATATCACAAAGAAATGCAAATGCAAAAGAAAAAGAACGCAGTGAATATAGTCATCAAATTTAAATCTAATTTTATTTATTTCTAAATTTACAATTGAAATGCAGTTTTCTTTCTGACACTTTGACTAGCATAAAAAAATTATTAAAAATTATTCTTTTTAAAATTCTTAAACCATTACTACAATGTCATAGGCTATCGTATAAACTGACGTAACATTGCGATAAATAACGCTTAGTCGAAATTGCTGGACATTTTCTGCATAGAGATGATCACATGAGAATTATAATTCTGGACTTTTTTTTCGAAATTTGGTTTTCAGTTGACCACAGTTCACAAATGTAGTTTTTTTGTGTTGCCATTTGCCTGTGTGTTAACTTAATCTACAAAATAATAATAATGAAAAAAAATAGAAACAAAGTAAAATGTATTTTTATTCTCATTTTTTTCTCCAGAAAAGAGTAGAGATAAAGTAGAATTAATCTGAAGTGGAATTATTTCAAATTCAGGCATTTGCTTACGTCTTTTGTAGTTTTTCCACAACTTTATGTTAAGTGTCTAGTTATTTATAAACAAAATAAAAAAGCCACTAGTGAAGATTTTAATAGATTCCTAACATTTTGTACTAGGAATACACAATGGCCAATAGCAAAAATATAAACATGCATTTATCTAATTTCTGTGTTTTTTCCTGTAGCACTTTAAAACACGAGACAAAAATATATAGATATTTTGAATGTTATCAACGTTCCCATACTGTTGATGAGCTACGCAATAGAGCGAACACCTGTGTTCTCATGACATAGTTTTCTCTTTTTAATATTCACGTCTCTATTAAAAGCACCCTAGAGAGAAATGGAGCATCCTGTGATAAAAGGTAATGCTTATACGCATAAGGAAACAGATGTAAAGGGCAACTACCAGCACTAAATGAACAAATGCATAACACATTTCTTCATAGCTGGTCAGATATCTCATCTGATTACTTTATCAGGTCTAGTATGGTGACAAAATTGGACTCGGTCAAACCATTTTCCCCGAAAACAGAATTTTTTTTTTGTGACGCTTGAATTTCATCCAAATAACAGTTTGGCTTGGCAGAATTTTGGTACCAAAAACTGATTTGGGTATTGAATCAGGGGTACCATTATGTATATATATATATATATACATTGTATATGTATACATTTTGCAGTAACATAGCATTTTCTTGCCATTTGTTTCAAAGATCAAGTGAGAAAAAGCAAACAATAGAAATCAGGAGGAGCAGTAAAATAAATAAATCCATGTTTACAATATATTTGTTAAATAATTTTTTGCCTTCTTTTGGATCAACAGAAAAAAGTCAAATGTGAGAAAGGCTGCACTGGTCCATGATGGACACATGCCTCTTTTCAGCTATGTAACTATGTAAATACAAATATATATTTGTTTAATGCTCCTCCTTTTTCTCATCTATTGCTTACTTCTCACTTGATCTGGGAATCTAGCCAGCAATATTCTTCTTTTTTCCCATCTATTATTTCTTTTTTTCGAAACAGAGATGCTTGACTTGGAGTTCAGGAATTTCACCTATTGCCCGATTGCTCGAAATTCTGAAGTATTGCAGTTCAGATTGAAAGGAATCTCCTAGTTTAGATAGAAATGTGTTGAAATATCATTTCCCAGCAGGGTCAGCACAGCCTTTCATCCATAAGTAAATAAAGTTATTATTTTTGCATTGGGTAATAATAACCACCAAACTCTACGTCGGAGAGAGAGATTTCTAAATGTGTCCCTGCTGTTTGGTGTGCTTGTGCTGTCTATTTTAATTTCAGATAAGGGTTTACGGATACATTTTTATCACACCACTGATCATAATTAAAATTAACTTAAATATTGTAGGCAACAGAGAACAATATACATTGAAATGTATTACTTTAATTTAACAGACCCAGTTCTTAATTTTTATTGAAAAATCCAGTATTATTTTGTATGTTTTTGAACTTTTAGTTTGAGCATCAGAAGATCAGGACTATCTCCAAACTACTAATTCACTGAAAAAGGACAACAGATTATAGTTGTATTGTTGACTGAACAGCTAATATCTACAATTTAAAATTTTAGAATATGTGATAAACAAATCCAATCATATAATTTTTTTGTATACCTATACTTTTCTGTAAAGTCACTATACTATTAGAAGTCAAGTTCCACATCATTTCATGTAGTTGCTCAAATAGATGTTTTCATCCCAAAATAGCAAACATAAGTTATTTATAGCATCTCAGAGAAAGACATTTACCCAGTATTTAGTACTAAATTGTAATTTCAGATTTCAGGTAAGCAAATATATATGCTTTGCACCTTTTTGTGAGAAAAGTAAATATTAGACACAAAATTGATTACTTATAAGAAACACCTTGATGGTTTTTACCAGCACCTTTTCAGAATTACATTTAAAATAATAAATAATAAAGTAAGCTTAATATGGGATGCATACCATTAAACTGAATTCAAGTATAGATTACTTTTCGTTACCTTCAAATTCTTAAAATATAGGAATTTTAGGAACTTTATTTATGTATTTATTTATTTTATCCTTTTCAGAAATCTTCGGAAGGTTTAATCACAAAGTGATATTTATTACTCTTTATATGGTACCCCTTCATCTTAACGTTGTTCATGTAAGGTCTGAAAAATCAGACTAGAAGCATGAGTACCATTAATGTAACTGGATTCTGAGAATGCCAATTGTTCTTTATATACTCAAAACATTTTTATAAGGTGAATACAGTTGCCTTGCTACATCAGTTAATATGTACTCTTGGTAGTGGTTCTATTAAAATGAAAAGTTTACTGTTACAGTATAATGATTAAAAACAACATCAAATAACTTCCTAATGGTGCATTATACCTTCTACAGCAGCTCTCAAATTATTGGCATCTCCCTTAACTGGTAGATTCCATAACACTCCTGTACTCATAGCTTTTATTTCCTAGTCTAAAAAGTACATTATCCCAAGTATAGATTACATTCTAATTTATACCAATAGATTGGAGTTTGTCTGTCTGTGCTAAAAACACAAACATGCACGCTCGCACACACACAAATGTGCACACACACGCATCTCCTGCCTGAGCTCCTGTAAAAGAAGTAGCAGATACATTTTTTTAATTGTTCCTCCTTTTTTTCCACTCTGTTGGTCACGTCTCACATGATCTGTGAATAAAATAAGCTGTTTCAATTATCTTATTTGCCATCAATCATTTCATTTTTTGTTGCCACGGAACTCTGAATCAAACAAACATGGTTGACCATTTGTTTAGCTATACGTTTGTTGATGCATTTTCAGTTATATGTCCATATGGCATCGTAGTTAAAAAAATTGAATGACCATTCGGCCTAAGTTTGGATGAATTGCTGGAAATAAATGCACAAGGCTACTTAAAGTAACACTATATTGTTAGAAATACTAATGTGTATTTCTAATGCAAAAGTGCCCTGGTTGCACTAGGGTCCCTAGTCCCCAGTGCCCACCGGTAGAGTAAAAAAGGTCTTTTGGTGACCTTTTTTCCCTTGCAGCACTGGCCTTTGTGCTGCTGTACTGCCTACTTGGCAACCCCCCTCCCCCTGCACGCCATTGAGATGGTCCCTATGAGATTATATAATATCAGTTAAAGTTATACTCACTTATTTCTGTGGAAGCACCTCTAGTGGCTGCCTGAGTGAGAATCTTTTGTGTATCTGTGCCATAGATACCAATATGACATGAAAGAACTTGATCTATCCAATCGTTGATAAAGTGTTACCTAATATTGTGAGCTTTCAGCTCATATACAATATAAGTTTTAGCAGTACCTCATAGAGTAGACTTAAGACACAGAGCTGTTATAAGAATATGATTAATGTGCAGTGTTTACCTGTGTGGAAAATGATCGTATTTTCAAGCTTATGTGACATAGTAAATCCTGTTTCTTTTAAAATCAATTAATTCACATCTCTTTAAGTCTTTCACACTTCTTTTCAAGTTTCTCACATGAACACCAAATCTGGTTCATTGGCCCAGGTTAGTTTGTGAATCTCAATTAGTCTGTAGAATGTATTGCTTTCATAGTGGCTAATTTAACTGCTACTTTATACATATATGAACATATTTACTGTGTAGTTTGTGTTGGCTGCATGTTGAGTGATTCCCCTATGCATTACAAAAAGACTTTTTGTTGTTTGTCCATAAGGTCCATACCTATCTGTTGCTCGCTTTATACTGTGAAAGGACATCTCTTAAATGGGCTAGATTTTTTTTTAAACAAATTGTAATATGTTGATATTTGTAGTTTTCTTAACCCATACATATTTGTTGAGACATGCAAGGCTATTAATAAATTGTGGAATGCAGGAATTTCAAATAAAAAATAAAAATTAAAATATTTAGTCAGTTCTGTTTTTAATTGTGCTATTTTGGTCTTAAATGTGAAATTTACTGTGAATTCCCAGCCATTCTCAATTTATTGAATAACCTCGATGGTGTATTTGTTATACTTATTTGGATCAGAAATGTGTGAAAAAGATTTTTGCAAAAAGTATGAGGTACTTCTGGAGGTAACTGGCTAATAAATACACTGAAGGTAAGATATGATTGTTTTGTAATTATGCAAAATTACATCCAACTCTCTCCTGGTAAAAATCAGGCATAGTAGAGAGGCATTTAGCCAAGGAATTGCATTTAAGTATGAGATTATTTTATTTTATTTTATAAGATTAGAATTACTTATAAGATTAGGGGGTTTGAATACAGGTCTTGATTTAATTCTGTTGGAAAAGCTTTTCAAATGATTTGATAGTTTTGGATTTTAACTTTTACATTTTATTTTTAATAACATTTTAAATAATATATTATATATGAAAAATATATCAATTCATCAACCAATATCAACAAAATAAAATATTTTAACAACATTAAAGGAACACTATAGGGTCAAGAAAACAAACAATTAGACCGTAAGCTCGTTTGAGCAGGGTCCTCTTCAACCTATCATTCCTGTAAGTTTTCTTGTAATTGTTCTATTTATAGTTACATCCCCCCTCTCATAATATTGTAAAGCGCTACAGAATCTGTTGGCGCAATATAAATGGCAATAATAATAATAATAATAATAATAATAATATTCCTCACCCTATAGTGTTAAAACCACCATTTTGGTGACTTGCCTCAACTTTCCCTACATTAAAGGTAGGGCCCCACCCCCGATTTGCCTCTTTGCTGATGCCATGAGATTTTGTGATTTGTGCCAATCCAGTGCTTTCCCATATGGAAAGCATCAGATTGGCTGAAATCAGCAAGGAGGGGGGACGGGTCAACACTGTCTTGGCCAATCAGCACCTCCTCATAGAGATGCATTGAATAAATGCATATCTATGAGAAAAGTTCCGCGTCTCCATGCAGAGTGTGGAGGTGCTGAATGGAAGTGCTACACACTGTGCACACTGTGCAGCACTGCCCCAGTAAGCACCTCTAGTGGCCATCTGAGGAGTGGCCACTAAAGGTGTTCCTAGGGGCCTATGTAAACACTGCATTTTCTCTGAAAAGACCGTGTTTGCATGAAAAAGGGAATGATTATACTCACCAGATCAATTACATAAAACTGTAGTTGTACTGGTGAATATAGTGTCCCTTTAAACCATTTGAAAATTTTATCTAATATATTAAATCATTTGAGAAGTTTATCCAACAATATTAAATAGAGACCACAGTTTTAATCTGCCTTTGTCCCATTTAAGCAGCAGCAATTTTGTCAAGAGTAGTGCTTCAGAGATATCTGGGAAGAAATCTAACAGTATGTAGCATAAATTCCGAAGGGAGAGTGAACCTATGAACCAATCTTCCAATTGTGGCTGAGTGAAGGGAAAACAAGTAGGTTTATTTCATGTCATTGTTGTTTGTTACAGTACCCTGCCTTTGGTGAGAGGGTATCACCTTTCTCAGTATGCATCCTACCCTTTCCCTTTTCTACCATGAAACAATGTGACATGGCAGCATGACATAGACCTGGTGTGCAGTAATCTACTTTTTTATGTCTATTGCTTTACAGGGATGTGGGTTTCAAATTTAAGGTCAAAATAGCCAAACCAACTATGCTTCCACATCAGCTACTCTGGCCTTAAACTTGACTTTCACTTAGAATTGTTTGACTTTCTATCCCAAACATAAAACTAGTAGAACACTAGAAAATGGAATGCTTTAGAGGGAAAATAAGATGTAAATATTAATACATGGAATATGATTAATACTATTATTTAAAAAAAGTTTTAAAAGTAATAAAAAAGGAAAAAGATCATCAAAGCCAATAATTCACACCAGAAAAATCCAAGAAAAAAATCCAAGAAAGGAAAAGATTAATCAATAATTAATCAGTTGTTATTTGCTGAATTTCTACCAGTTTTGGAATTTATTGTAGCATAACCTTTTATAACTGTATAATGCATACACAACCTCAACAAATCCATATATCATAACATATAATTTCCATTATCTTTGGTTAAATCATTTAAAAGTATGAATATTGAATATTTAATACATTTTCTATTATTTATTCATACAGGATGTGTACATGTTTCGGTACCACTTATAATCTTCTGCGTTGCTTTCATATTATCTGTAACATGCAACCTTGTATTCTGCATCATGAAATTTAAAAAGGGTAAGTAATGTCTTTTAAAATTACCGCAGTTTTCAATTTGTATTAAGTGTTTATCTAAGTAACTTAGTAACTCAGTAATTATATGCACAGTGCTTTAGACACAATAGGGGGTAATTCACAACATTTCTGCTTTGCAACAGAACATTCAATAACAATCTGGAGCAATTGTATAGAAAAAGATTACCTAAACGGTGACTAGGGCCCCGTTCCATGGCGGTGACAAGGGCCCCGTTACCTTCATTCAGCACCGGGCTCCCTCGGCAGTGGACACCTCTCCTCTTTCATCGACTTCAGCGCATTCAAACCGGCCCATAGGAAAGCTTTACTGAATGCTTTCCTATGGGGATCTTTTTTGACGTTGAAAGTTCGTGATTTACGCCATGCAAATGTCCAACAACTTATTTGAACTCTTGTGCTTGATACATAAAGTTATAATAAAATAATGTATAATTTATATAGTTAAAATAATGAATTATATAATTATTATTTTTTTCAGGTAAAAAAATAAAATACCATAATCAATGCACCATAAGGTATGTGTTTCACTCATATACAATTGTGTGATTTGTACATTTAACACATGTTGTGTACTAATGTAATTCTATTAATTATATACAATATACATAACAAGCATAAGTATTGCTTTCAATTCCACCTGTGCAATTTATTCACACTTATGTAGTGAATTGAAAATCATATTGCAAAATTTAAGCATACATTTTTTGATATCGAAAAAATCTCCAACACTGCTGTACTCACACTTTGGCTGTTTAATCCATTTTTTTAATTTTTTTTTATCATTTTGTTTTCGTTTCTATACAGTCTGGTTCTCAGTGAATAAACTCCTCTGGATTTGTTTTGAGAATAAAACCCAAATCATAAAAAAAACTCCTTAACTTCTATCATGTACCCACAAATATCCATGCTCTCTGCTCCCTATTGATTTGATATTTTACAGAATTAAATTTTTTGATATATTGCTACTAGATTCTATTTTTTTTTTACTAATGTATTTTGGAGTTTAGGTATACCATTCCTATGTATTCCCTTCAATGAAAATCTATGAGCATAAAATGAATTTCATGCTATATTTTTTTTATTTTATTTCCTGGTTATTGTTTTGAATATTTGTATTGTTTTCACAATATAAACGCATATATCAAACTGATTAGTGGTAGAGCAAGTAGTTGCCACGCAGGGGCATATGCATCTGTATATAAAGGTGTAAGCATTTTATCGCCTACGCAGAGGCGCATTTGTCATAGCCTGTATAACATAACCTATTGGTTCATAGTCGGTTGCAGAGGCTTGATTATAGTTATGCGTGTGATTAAGCTTTATAGTGCCTTTGCAGAGGCTTAACATTTCAGCCTCAGGTGTCTCAACTGCAAGTCTCGCCTTTGTGTGTTTGTGTTTTCATTTAGTTCTTTCGTTCCGCACGTATAGTGTCGTGTTCTGGTGGTTTCGCGCGTCTATGCGTCAGTTATCCTATCTTTGGGTATCTGGGTCTCGCTAAATGGGTTAGAGTTGGTGGTGTGGGTGTGTGGTGTGTTTAGTGTTTTGGTTCGTCATCTTTGTTTATTCGTCTATGATGGGTTGCTTCTGTTGCGTGTTTTTTGTGTTTATTGTGTGGGTCCGTGTGTGTACCTGTGGTGCGGAGTCCATCTCTGTAAGGTGGTGCATTTTGTTTGTGTGTGTGTGGTGATTGTTCAAGGTGTCGTGTGTGTTGTTGTGCTTTTCTCTGTTCTGCCTTGTCTCAGTTTGGTGGTACAGTGATGTGTGCGCTGTCGTCGGTTTGTCCCTGGGTTGATTGTGGCCTGGTGTTGTGTAGTGTTGTTTATGGGTGTATCTTTCTTGTTGTGTTTCCAGACATCGTTGTTTTGAGGTGGCTTCCGTACCTGGTGGGTGTGTTTGCGGTGTGTGCATGGCCCCTCAGTCCATTGCAGTGCCTGTGGTTGTTTGTTAGGATGTGTTAGTGTGGGTGAGTGGGTGGGGGGTGCTGGGTGGAGGTGGTGGAAGGGGGTGGTCAGTTTTGCCCTCTGCCGTTGCCCCGGCTTGCCGTGCCCCGCTGTCTCTCGTTTGATCTACCAGTTCTGAGGTCCTGTCTTTCCTCGTCACTGGTTACTGTGTGGTGAGTCGGTGTTGAAAGGTGTTTGATGTGGTCAGTCGTATCCAGTGGAACCACCGTTTGGTGTATCGGTCCCTGTGTTGTGGGGTGTTTGCCTTCAAGTCCTCGAATTTCCTCGTCGCTTCTACCTCTTCCTACCAACGGGCCATCGGGGGGGGGGGTGTGGTGGTCTGCTTCCAATAGATAGAGATGGTGGCCTTGGCCGCATTTAGAGTCGCGGGTATACGTCTGTGTAGTCATAGTGGTATAGTGGAGGAGGAAGGTGGCCGTGGACCGTGGTAAAAGTTTGTCTGTCACTTCATGTATGATGCCCCGTATCGCGTCCCAGAAGGGTTGGACACGTGAGCATGTCCACCAGACGTGTATAAACATGCCCGCCTCCTCCCCGCATCTCCAGCACGTGTCTTGGAATTCTGAGTTTCTGGTATATAGTGCTGTTGGTGTCAAGTACCATAAGTATCTTGTATAAGTTTTCTTGCAGGCGTGCTGAGCTTGGTGTTTTATGTATCAGGATAATGCTTTTGCCCAATCTGCCTCTGTCATGGTCTCATCTATGTCTTTCTCCCTGTTCCTGATGCATGGGGGTGCCAATAAGTATCGGCTGGTGACTAGTATTGCATATATCTGCGAGATAGCTCTAGGTGGTTCTTTATCTTGCGTGCAGAGGAGTTCAAATTGCGTGGGTTTTCTCAGTAAAGATGTTTTTTGCGGGATGGATTGGGCGTACTGGGCAATTTGAGCTCTTGCCAATGTATGGGAAAAAGTTAGCGGCCAGTCCAGGATGAGTTATTCCAGTGGGCGAATGTCGAATGGGCGCATGAGGACGTCTGTCATGCGGGGTGTTGTTTTATGTCCCATCGGTCCCGGTGTCGGGCCGAGGTATACTGCTGGGATTTCTGGATTGCCTCTGAGGGGTAGTAGCGGGCCTGGATCTGTCGTCAGGTTTTGTTTCGTGCCTTGTCTGTGCCAGATCTGCATAATCGCCGTTACGAATGGGTTGGTGATGTGTTTGTGTCTGTATGCTGTCTTGGGCATCCGTGGTAGGGTCCTGAGGTCGCAGCTGGTTATTTCTGTTTCCAGTTGGGTCCAGGGTTTCGTGCCGCTGGCTACCGACCAGCTGATTACTCTGGTGAGGTGTGCTGCGTGGTAATATTTTTTTGAAGTCAGGGAGCGCCAGGCCTCCTTGGAGTTTTGGGTAGGGTTAGTTGGGTGTGTGCTATGTGTGGGGATTTGCCCTTCCATATGAATGTGTGGACCTCCATCTTTAGTGCTGAGAAAAACGATTGTGGGGCTAAAATCGGTACTGTTTGGAACACAAAGAGTAGTTTGGGCAGTAGCGTCATCTTGACTGCATGAACTCTTCCCAGCCATGAGATGTAATAGGACCTCCATCTGTGTAATTCCTCCGTTGCCTTTTTTAGTATGGGAAGGTAATTGTGGGTGTATATGTCTGCTGGGTTATGTGTGTGAGCCAAAACCGAATGCGTGCCGAAGGGCAGGTGTATAGTGCCCAGGTGAGGTATTTTGGCCTTTTACCAAGAGTTTGGAGGGCTTCGAGCATCAGGTCCCAGTCTACTCTGTCGAACGCCTTCTCTGCATCTGTGGACAGGAGAAGGGTCGGGGTCTTTTGTGCTCTGGTGTGCGCTATGATGTTCAAGGCTCTTATGGTGTTGTCCCTCACCTCTCTGCCCGGGATGAATCCCGTTTGGTCCGGGTGGATTGTGGCGGGTAGCAATGGCACTAGGCGTGTCACTAGGATGCTTGCCAGGAGTTTGATGTCCATGTTCAGCATGGAGATCGGACGGTAGCTCGGGCATAGTGTCGGGTCCTTGCCCTTTTTTGGCAGTAGGGTGATGTTCGCCGAGGTGAATTGGGCCGACGGTGCGGCTCCCTCGTGGATTGAGTTTAGGGCTGTCAGTAGTTTCAGTAGAATGTCTTACACGAAGACCTTGTAGTATTGGAGGGGTAGTCCATCTGGTCCTGGTGCCCTGCCCGTTTTTGCTCTTTTGATAGCGTATTTCAGTTCCTCTAGTATGATGGGTGTCTCTAGTGTCTCCTGGTCTGCTTCGCTTAGTTCAGGTATTTGTGCCGAGTCTAGGTAGCTGTGTATGTTTTCTATTGTGCGGCGTCGTTGTATTTCCTGGTTATTGTATATTTCTTATGACTAGTGTTCCACAGCAACAATCATATCTGCTGTGCATCACGAACTGCAAAATGTTGATTGTTGCACTGGGAGAGTCCTGCAAAAATGTACAGAAAATGGATGTTTGCTTGTTAGCAGCTGTCAAAGAATTATGGGAAATATAGACCAAACACTGGACGGCCTGCTCTAGCATAAGCAAATAACAAATAACTCTCAGTTTGCAGTATGCATACACTTGCAGGTATTTCATTTTCTTCTTTTAAAGCAATAACAATTCTGGGTATTGATGAAGGATAAAAGCACATTGTGACTTGTTTTTGTTCAGAAAAATTGCAAACTATCAGTGCAATATTTAACCTTGTTTCCTCTGCATCTGCTTATTTTAGCTCTTTCTAACGGAGCATGTGGTTGACTTAAATACCACAAAATCTGAACAGTTTTTTTTTTTTTGCACAATTGATGTTCTATTTTTAGCCACTGCTTTTGTAAGAACAAGACAGATTAACTTTTTTTTTTCTTATAAAATTATTCTACGGTTAAAGGAGAATAAAATACTATAATAATATGTGTATATGTGAGGTCAGATAGAAACTCCCCATAAATATGTCCATATCCAAAACAAGTAGGTGTGCAAGATTTTGAAACTACACAAACAGGCATTAAAGAGAAATCTGTACGTGTAACAGAAAATAAATGTGCCAAAGGCAAGTGTTTGTGACTTGAAAGAACAGTTGGGTCTTAAATCTGAACTGATTTGTAAACTTAAAAATTAAGTTAAATAAGTGTCTGATTGTAAGGAGTGTTCATAATTTAATACCAGAACCAGATGATGTCACATCATCACAAAAACGAAGGTAGGAGCCACACTCAATCCCAGCAGACACCCGTTGCATTGGAGCAGGACCAGCAATCCCACAACGATCAGGCAAACCAAAAGAACATCTCCAGACACTCAAGGTGTTTCAGCCTCAGGCAGATTTAATGGAACAGAAAAAAGAGCAGCAACGTTTTGACCTGCTAAGAGGTCTTTACATCAGTGATTTATACAAGCCATCACAGTCTTATTTACAAAGAAGAACATTATTAGACAAGGCTGGAAAACTAACCAGGAAGCCTGGGTATACTAACTGATGTTTGAAGTGACAGCACTAGGACAAAGTCTAGATGCAAAATGAACCATATTAAATATATGCCCAAAGGATTCAGTGCAGGTAGCACAGGCACATGTTTGGTACAACAAGCTAAAAGGCTTGAGGCATTCCTTTAATGTCAATGTCTGATTTGTGGAAACCCTATACAGACACATATATGTTGTGCTCAGATTCCTCTTTAATTATAGTATGAGTATCAGTATTTTTTTAAATACTTTTATGGAATTATGAGTAGTACTGGAGTTACATAAGCTGAGAGTCTTTCTGTGGATATGTTACATAGTTGGCTAGGTTGATGAAAAACTAAAGTCCATCATGCTTAACCCTGAAGCCCAATCTTTTATGCTGTTGATCCAAAAGAAGGCAACCGCCCACCCAATTGTAGCCATTTTCAATAATGCCACAAAAAAAGGGCTCCATAATGGCATTCAGGTTTCTCCTTGGTCAACAACCTGTTTTTATACATATCAATTGTATACTTGAATATTCTGTTTATGCAAAAAAGCAGTCAAGCCTTTTAAAAAATTATCTATAGAATCTGATAACACAACCTCTTTTTAGGCTGATGATTCCACATCGTTATTGTTCTTACTGCAAAAAAACCCTTCCCTCTGCTGTAACAAAAACACCTTACTTCCAATCTCAATGGGTAACCTCTTGTGTCACCTCTTGCCTGTTGAATATTTCTACTAAAGAACAGGTTAGCACATAGTGGGTTTTACTGACCCTATATATAGTTGTATATAATAATAACAAAGTATTTAACCAGGAAAGGTACATTTAGATTACTCTGGTTTTCAAGTACGTCCTGGGGATGTTACCTTAGCCCAACATATATTTATATCTGAATTGACTTTATTTTTAAGAAAACAAATCCAGTTTTTCTAGCCTTTCCTCATAACTAATGTTTTCTTTCCCCTTTACTAATTTTGTAACTCACTTCTGCACTTTTTTAAGTTCTGCAGTATCCTTCTTTAAAATTGGTAACCCCACATATACACATATACAAGGTGGCATATTGTTGCTGTGAAGAACTGAACCTCATCAGGGGTTCTTGGAGGGGCCTGCTGGCCAGCCTCTTGCCTCAGTACTATGGGCCCTGCAATATACTTGCCCATTGCCTGCTGGCCAGCCTCTTGCCTCAGTACTATGGGCCCTGCAATATACTTGCCCATTGCCTGCTGGCCAGCCTCTTGCCTCAGTACTATGGGCCCTGCAATATACTTGCCCATGTGAGATATGTACTTTTGTACTCCAGACAGAGAGAACGACCCTTAGCCCTGATTCCCTGGAACTTTTTTGGCCATAGGACCATGTGCACGGTCGGTCAAAAATAAGACTTCCAGGAAATACCTGTACCCCGGGTGATTTTTGGATATGTTGGTCACCCAGATCAGGGCTATCAGGGAATGTAACATTTGTCATTTTTTTTGTCTTTTAATGTATTTTTGGGTGTTTGTAAAAATGTAGGCCTCAGAGACAAAGGTGCATATATACAGCAACGAAACGCACGTCAGGTTCTTTCCTATGAGTTAATTTTAACTTGCACACACATGGGCACTTCACTGCACTGTGTGATACACATTTTTGTTATGATTTAAGCTTTTCCTTTACATTTTTTTCTTCTATGCCAATTTAGTAAGTTTAACAGGGAGAGACTTTCTCTACTTTACTTTATCTGTCCTACTTTTGATTATTAGTGCTGCTGATCCTCTAGACAGTAACTTTTCTCCCTTTAGCATTTTTAACGGTGCTCAGGGATTAAGGGAAGATCTACTAACACCCTATGCATTAAAAGGCCAGGACTTACAGCCTATATGTATATTGCAGTCTTAGGTGTTTAGCAATTGCCTCTCCTCACTTACTTAGGCATGGGAGTTTGTTATGATTAGAGTTGAGCGAACACCTGGATGTTCGGGTCCGGCGGGTTTGGCAGAACTTTAAAAAAAAAGTCCGGGTTCAGGCTCGAACTTGACCCCGAACCCGAACCCCATTGAAGTCAATAGGGACCCGAACTTTTGGGTACAAAACTGGCTCTAAAAACTCATGGAAGGGGCTAGAGGGCTGCAAAAGGAAGTAAAATGGGGTAAGAGTAGGACAAGTGCCCTGCAAACAAATGTGGATAGAGAAATCACTTAAAAATAACATAAAATAAGCAGCCGCTTAGTAGATAACTCCCTAATTCACACGTTATTAGGGAGCTATCTACCAAAAGGCTGAAAGACCTTAGTTGGTCTTTCAGCCACATTTACTAATACTAAGTAAAGATTACTAAGTATTAGTATTACTAAATTCTGCCCCTACTCGCTATATTCTGCTCCTAATCGCCAGTGGTTGCTCACTGTAAAAACAAAACAAAAAAAAACCTATTGCCCCCACCCCTGAGCGGTGGGTGGGGGCCCTAAATAATAATGTGGAGGGTGGACCTACTTTCCTCCCCCCGGCCCCCACCCCTGAGCGGTGGGTGGGGGCCCTAAATAAGAATTTGGGGGGGGGGACTTACTGTCCCCTCCTCGGCCCCCACCCCTGCGCGGTGAGTGGGGGCCCTAAATAACAATAAGGGGGGACCTAATGTCCTCCCCCCCGGCCCCCACCCCTGAGCGGCGGGTGGGGGCCCTAAATAAAAATGTACCCCCCCAGGTGACTAGGGGTCCCCAAACCCCTAGTCACCCCCCTCCCGCCCACAAAAATTACCCCTACCTACCCCCCTCATCCTAAAAATAATGAGGGGGGACCCTTATCTAAATACCTGTTAAAAAAAAATAGCCTTACCATTTGATGTCTTCTTTCTTCTAAAATCTTATTTTTTCAACCCCAAAAAAGGCCAAATAAAAATCCATAATAACCGACACACTTTAAAAAATAAAATAAAAAATATATATATCCATTTTCACCTATGGAGGGCTCCCCGCAGACTGAGCTCTGCAGGGCGGGGGAAGGCTTATAAAGCCTTGCCCCACCCTGCAATTAGGCTCAGAGAACTCTGGTGGGTTTAAGCCATCCAATCAGAGTGCTTTGACAGGTAAATGAAGAGACTGACAGGTAAGTCTCTACATTTACCTGTTATAACACTCTGATTGGCCACTTAATCCACCAATCAGAGTGCTCTGTGTCATTCTACACAGCGTGGGAAAGTTCTTTTGAACTTGAATGGCTGTGATGGCTTCTAAGGGCACACGAGTCAAACGCTTGTTGATTGGCTGCCCTGCGGCCTTTCAAAACGCGTCATTAAATCGGGTCCGGGGTCCAAAAAACGTAATGTTCGGTATGAACCCGAACTTTTCAGTTCGGGTTCACTCAACTCTAGTTATGATTTATGATTCACATTTTCTCTTCTATGCCTATCTAGTAAGTCTCACAAGGAGAGAAGCTTTCTTTATTTTATTTTACTTTATCCGTCTATCTACTTTTGTAGATTTAGGGCTGCCAATCTTTAAGACAGTGACCTTTCTCCCTTTGGCACTTTTTCTGATGCTTAGGTAGGTACTAAGGAGAGCTTTACTAACACCCTATGCATTAATAAAGCCTATATGAATATTGCAGAACTGTTTAGTAACTTTATCCCCTCATTTACTTAGGCATGGGAGTAGTCTTATAAGGCTAGTTCAGTATTTATTATTATTTGGAGTCACAGTTTATTTCTGTTTTGTTACTTTCTGTTATTTCAGATATTTAGTGGTCTTCCTCTGGTTACATTGTTCCATACCACTGGATGCTTTGGTGCCTACGTCTTTATCTCCAGTTAGTATTATATTCAGTTTGTGAATTTTTGCTTCTTTTTGATTTTGCATTGCTGGAGTGCCCTCCTGGTGCATGGGATGAGTGTGGAGGTGGTGTTGATTCCCTTTTACATCCATTTTCACACGGATCCCATTTCTTTCTATTTTTTATAATGTATAAGTGGCTTGTGGGTTCCTTATTCCAAAATGCATGACTTAACATTTATCTGTATTGAGTCTCATCTGCCACCTACCTGCCCCCTCCCCCCCCCCCGACCTCTTCAATTTATCTAAATGCTTCCGTAGAGAAGTTATATCATACTAAGAGTGTGCAATGGACTGGTGATTTGAATTTCCTGCCCATAGCAAAAATCATATTGTTCAAACATTACTAAAAAGGTGACAAAATGTTATTATTATAATTTTTCTTCTTCGTTAGTTTTATAAGTATAGTGCAGGCGTTAGTCTTAGAAACAGTCTAAAGAACAATGGGGGGAGGAAGGGAGAGGTTACACAATACAAACAATTCATGTGGTAAATGGCAAGTTTCACAGTAGAAGCAATAAAAAAAATCAACATATAGGCAGGATCAGTCAGTAAATTAAAAAGCAATTTTATGTTCACAGCTATTTATATATACAATCAGTATATCTGTTTTAACCTATGTCTATGTTTATGTAAAATAAAAAAACTCTTCCTATGTACTACTAATTATTAGCCAATTACATATGCAAGTTGGAGGAGCATGCAATGGACTGATATATGGCCTTAGGTAGTAGATGTGTCTTGTATTCCTTCACTATCAAGCAGTTTTAAAAAAAGCTACCCCCAGAATCCAAGTATTGCAGTTCTATATTTATATGTATTTTTGTTTCAGAATGCTTATATAGCATATTATTTAATGGGAACAAAACCTATTTTAACTTTCAGATACAGATATTATACAGTTACAGATATGAAACAGTAATCTACACACACACACACACACACACACACACACATATATACACACGTTGATGACACAGCTGCTCTGTGTGCAAAAATGAGGGTGGGTGATCTCCTGCACATTGAGGGACCCATTGGGTGGACCATGCACTTAGGGCCCCCTGATGGCCATCTCTGATCAGGGGTCCTTTGGCCCTTTTACAACATGACTGGACCCACTGGTCTGCCTGCAGTCACGGTCCTGGGAGGAAGTGAGTACAAGTCACTTTCTCCCAGCATATCTATGAACCAAACAGGAGAGAGAAGGGAGGACCAGAGAGAAGGAGAGCCTGGAGTCTGGACCTGACTCCCATAAGATCCAGCCAGATGCCAGGGAAGCAAACCCCCCCCTGCCCCCCACCACCAAAAAAAGTATGAAAGTAGGGGGTTGCTAAAAATCTGTAAATTGTAATCTTTCTGTGTATATGTCTGCTCGTGTATATATGTGTTATCTGTGTGTGAATATATGATATTTGTGTGTATATGTGTTATCTGTGTGTGTAAATGTGTGTATGTGTATGTATTATCTATGTGTGAATATATGACATTTGTGAGTATATGTGTTATTTGTGTGTATATATGTGTTATCTGTGTGTGTAAATATGTGTATGTGTTATCTGTATGTGTATATGTGTCACTTAGGTATATGTGCTATGAGTGAGTGTGTATCTGTGTGTGCATGAGACAAAATGTATATGTGTGTATGTATCAGTGTATATCGGTGTGTGTATGAGTCAGTGTGTGTAATGGATCACCTGGCACCCCGACTGGGTACCTCCATTGAAGGATGCTCCTAGCGCTTCTTGAGGACTCCAAACACTCTAGCCGACACCACAACCACCGCAGGCCGAACCTCTCTTCCTTCAGAGCGAAGCAGGAACAAGCTCTTTAGGAGTGATTATATGCCTAGCATAGCAATCCCTCGTAGCAGATTCCCCAATAAGAGACGGCACTCCAAATTGAGGGTGAAGTAGAACTGAAGCTTTTAATCAAACACTTTACTTTTATGCCCCTTTTACAAACATAGTACCGCCCACAGAGTTTTGAAGAACAAACCAATCAATACATTACAACACAGCTAAACACTCCCATTCATACCAGCAGAAATCCTCCCCTCTGCCTGTGATACAATTACTGAAAACAATGGGCTAACCTAATTATCACAGGCAGGAAAATACACAGTTTTGCACAATATTCATAACTTTAAAAGTATACATCACATTCACATACAACTTACATTTTCCTACTCAAAAATACGAACATGTGTCAAAATCATACAAATTGGTCCAGTGGTTCAAAAGATAGATGGAAGACCTATTTGACCGACTGAAAGCATGGCTATCTCCAGCATACAGAAAATATCTCCATTTACAACAACAGCAAAAACACACAAAAATACATAATTCCTATAATACTGAACAGAACCCCCACATTCAACCTATCCCCAGATAGCTTGGATCTGAGCTCTCACTATACTCGAACAGTGCTCAGATCCCACAAACACAGTCAAATCGCCATGGGGTTAAAGTTTAGCAACAAGTTCCAACTAGTCTGGTAGTGTCCTTGGGACAACAATAATAGACAGGAAATGGGGGAGGGGCACACCTTCTCATGTATTCAAAGGGGCAGGAAAAGTGTTTCAAAATCCAATAACCCCAAATAATGATTACACAGGGCAAAGTCTCCCAGGGGCCATAGTCAGAATGCAGGAGGCGGGCAAACATGCTTCTCCAATGCCCAGTGGCAAGGTTGCTACCGCCACAGCGTGTATCTGTGTGCAGGGCCGGACTGGGAGAAAAATTCGGCCTGGGCATTTTTTTAACACAGCGGCCTACTAAAAAGGGGGCGGGGCAGAGAGGGTGTGTTTCGTCATCACCAATGACAAACACGCCCCCTCTCAAAGTGAGCATGTTGGTTCAATGCTCTTCCAGGGCAGACCATGCGCAAAGCTCTGCTGAAGAGCTCTAGCATGAGAAAAAAGTCCTGTATTTGTTCTGCACAGTGCAAGCAAATTTAATAACATTAGAACAAAAAGGTAATGGTTCAGCGCTAAACAATCTAAAAGAAACTAAAACAAAAAGTAAAAGCAGCAACCTATAGGAATGAGGTCCCTCAAATAACCTCACATGGAATAGGACAAACAGAAAAAGGTATATAGGTCGCGCTAAGGGGACAAGGAGGTAAAATAAATGAAATAAATAAAAGTAATAAAAAAGTCCCAAATATAAATAAACCTGTGTTGTTCTAGGAGAGTATACAGTCCAAATGGATATCTGAGTCTTCTTATGTTGAGGATGTCTTGGAATGCTTGTCAATACGTAGATACATAAAAAAAAGGAGAGGAAGAGGAACTCCAATAGTGTAGAATGTCGATATAGTTTCCAGGTATAGGTCTGTAAGTAGGTAAATGACTCACCTTGGCGTGAGCAAAGAAACCTTGCTCAAGTGTTCTTAGCGTTCAGTGGCGTCAATCCCCCACTGGTAGGATATAGGTGATGGGGTCCTGGACAATTCCTCGGTATATAAAAAATGAGAGACGTATATAGTGCTCACTGATGTTTGTAAAAACAAATAAAATAAGTAAAATACTCACATGTACATGAGCAGGAAATACTGCTCAGTATGATGGCGCAGGTGGTACAATCCCCACCTTAGGATTCTTGGAAGTTGACGTACTTAAATCCAAATTGATGACCAGGTAATTCAAATTAAAAATATAAAATAAAAGGAATTTAAAAGTATATAGGCAAAAAATAAGGGCCAATATTCCTTTATTAAAATATAGTTTATCAATATATCTAACAGACTTAGTAATAGCCAAAACGCATTTCACCACACAGGGCTTTATCAAATGGCATTTAAAAGAGAGAAAAACCTGGTACACAAGCTGCTTTTATAAGCTAAAAAATACAAATAGGCATTTGAATTTTGGCGCCATAATGACGTCACACTTACAATATGCATAATTTAAAAACAATTTAAAAGTAAGAAATTGAAATATAAAAGCATTATATAATGCAATATTAAGATAATTATCAGTTTCAAATAGTAAAACGAGCATTTTTTATAATGTTGTACACTAGGAGAGATGATGTCAGTGAAGAAAATATTGTATGTATACAAAAGTTAAAATTGATGATATAGGAACGTAAATAAAAGGGGTATGAAAATGTCTGTGGGTTTAAAATAGAAAAACGAGCATTATTAAGAATAGTAATATATAATGAAACACGTGATCGCGGCTAGACGCGATCACGTGATCGGAACTGGGTATTGTGGGAAATGTATGCCAGAGAGTCGGGAGATCGGCGCAAAAGTATATCGCCTGTCTCTCGACTAGATAGTGCAGCAGAGGCATATAGGAGCTAGATAATTAGCCTTGCATGTAAATAGAGACCTAATAGGTGAAGGGAGAGGGGGAGAGAAGAAAAAGGGGGAAAAACAAAAAAGGGGCTTATAGCAGGGAATATCCTGCATAAATCAAAAGGAAAAAGGATAAAGATAATAATGAAAAAAATATATATAAATAAAGGATATATGTAAAAAAGAGAAAAATGAATAAGGGTAAGTATAGAATAAAATGAAATAGAAATAATAATAAAGGTAAAAATAAAAGATAAAAAAAATAAAAAATAAAAAAATAAATAAATAAATATAAAAATACAATTAAAAATAAAAATAATGAATAAAAATAAAGAATAAAAATAAAAATAAAAATAAAAATGAAAATAGAAATAAATAATAATAGAATGTATAGTATAATAAAGATAAAAATAAATATAAAAATATAAACAGAATTAAGGAAAGAAAAATGAATGAATGAAAAAAGTGGAGAAAAAAAAAAAAAGGTAAAGAGTAAAAAAATAATTTATAAAAAGTTAAAAAGGTCAAATTCAACATTTAATCCTTGAGGTGATAGGGTTTTTAATTGAAAAACCCAATTCATCTCTCTTTTCCCCAAAATATTTTTCATATCCCCTCCTCTCCATGGCATGGAAACTTTTTCTATCCCGGTAACTTTAAGAGCACTTGGGTCTTTATTGTGCAATAAAAAGTGCTTGGACACTGAATGGTTATCATATCCTTTTTTGATATTACGGCAATGTTCTGTAAGTCTAATCTTTAAACACCTTGTTGTCATGCCGACATATTGAAAACCACATGGACATTCTAATAAATAGATAACATTTTTAGTATTGCATCCTATGAAGTCCTTGATCGGGTACATAGTTTTGGTGATGGTGGAGGAGAAATGAGTCGTTTTAGTATTGGTATTGGGATTTGTGGATCTGCATACGATGCATTTGTTACATTTAAAAAAACCTTTTGGTTTTGACAGAAAGGTCTCCTTTGATGAAGTGATTTTAGTATAATTTTTCGTTAGAATTTTCTTAAAATTTGGGGCCCCTCTAAAAATCACATTTGGTTTGTCAGGGATATAGTCTTTTAAAAGGTCATCCTATTTGAGAATGTGCCAATGTTTATTAATGATTTTTTTTTATATCTTTATTTTTCTTATTAAAGTCTAAGATAATAGGCAATTTTGGGGGGTCTTCCTTTTTAGCTTTGTATGCTAAAAGGTCCTTTCTTTCTTTTGTACTAACTTCTTTTAATGCTGCATTCAATTTTTCTGGTTCATAGTTTTTATCTAAAAATTTGCTATTCAATGAGGTAGATTGGATTTTAAAATCATTTGATAGAGAACAATTACGATGAAGACGAAGAAATTGACTTTTCGGAATCCCATCTAACCAGGGTTTATAATGACAGCTTGTATGGTCTATGATGGTATTAGTACATACTTCTTTAAAAAAAGTCTTGGTTTGAATATTGCCTTCATGAATAAAAATGTTAAGATCCAAAAAATCAATGGATTCTTTACTAAAATTTGAGGTTAAAATTATACTTTTATCATTGTTGTTTAAAAATTCTAAAAACAGTTTAAGAGAGGTCTCTGAACCTTGCCAAATAAAAAATAAATCGTCTATATAGCGAAAGTATGCGATCAGGATTGCCCGCCAGCTATGATCACCCCAAATGGCCGAAGACTCCCAATCAGCCATAAAGAGGTTAGCATAGCTAGGGGCAAACCTGGTTCCCATGGCTGTGCCTTTTTTTTGAATATAAAAAGAATCATAAAACCAAAAATAATTGTTGGTTAAAACATGTGAATACCCTCTAAAATAAAATTTATTTGTGAGACTGGAATCGAAGTTTGGTTTTTTAAAATTTTTTCAACTGACTCACATCCTAAGGTGTGGGGAATAATAGTATATAAAGATTGGACGTCGCACGTAACTAAAATATAATCTTGACACCATATAAAATCTTTTAAAAAGGATAAAAGGGTCATCGAGTCTTTGAGATAGGATCTCATTAGTTTTACTGAAGGCTGTAATAAAAAAAATCCAATAACCCCAAATAATGATTACACAGGGCAAAGTCTCCCAGGGGCCATAGTCAGAATGCAGGAGGCGGGCAAACATGCTTCTCCAATGCCCAGTGGCAAGGTTGCTACCGCCACAGCGTGTATCTGTGTGCAGGGCCGGACTGGGAGAAAAATTCGGCCTGGGCATTTTTTTAACACAGCGGCCTAATAAAAAGGGGGCGGGGCAGAGAGGGTGTGTTTCGTCATCACCAATGACAAACACGCCCCCTCTCAAAGTGAGCATGTTGGTTCAATGCTCTTCCAGGGCAGACCATGCGCAAAGCTCTGCTGAAGAGCTCTAGCATGAGAAAAAAGTCCTGTATTTGTTCTGCACAGTGCAAGCAAATTTAATAACATGCTTGCACTGTCTTTCCTTGCAACTTGTCTCTGGTGTCTCTATAAATGGATACCAGGAGACAAAAGGCCAGGAAAGAGTATTATGCATGTGTTTGGAGCCTGCTTGTGGTATTGCGTGTGTGTAGAGTGAGCTGGTCGTGGTGTGGTATTGTGTAATAAGGTCAGTTTTAGTCGTGTTGTGTTTGTGGTGTAATGTGATGCATATGTGGCTATGGGCTGTAGAGAATGTGTGTATTGGGGATATAGCAAGTGTGTATGTGAAGGGTGCAGTATGTGTGTGTGTGAGGGGTGCGGTGTGTGTGAGAGTGCCGTGTGTGTGTGATGGGTGTGAGAGTGCCGTGTGTGAGTGATGGGTGTGAGAGTGCTGTGTGAGATGGGTGTGAGAGAGTGCTGTGTGAGAGAGTGCTGTGTGTGTGTGTGAGAGTGCTCTGTGAGAGTGCTGTGAGAGAGTGCTGTGAGTGTGATGGGTGTGAGAGTGGTGTGAGAGAGTGCTGTGTGTGTGAAAGTGCTGTGTGTGATGGGTGTGAGAGTGCTGTGTGAGAGAGTGCTGTGTGTGTGTGAGAGTGCTGTGTGTGTGAAAGTGCTGTGTGTGATGGGTGTGAGAGTGCTGTGTGAGAGAGTGATGTGTGTGCGTGTGAGAGTGCTCTGTGAGAGAGTGCTGTGAGTGTGAGAGTGATGGGTGTGAGAGTGTGATGGGTGAGAGAGTGCTGTGTGTGATGGGTGTGAGAGTGCTGTGTGTGATGGGTGTGAGAGAGTGCTGTGTGTGATGGGTGTGAGAGTGCTGTGTGTGATGGGTGTGAGAGTGCTGTATAAATGTTATTGTGTGTGTGTGTAGGGGGGGTAAATAAACAAAAAACAGGCATTATGTCCCCCCCTCCCTTCTTACCTTTAGCCTGGGAGGGGGGGACCGGCACACTGGTGACTGGGAGGCGGGGTGGCAGTGTTCCCTGGTGGTCCTCGTGGGTGAGTGAACTCTAGCCTGGGCCTGGGCTAGAGTTCACTCTCGCGAGATCCGGCGCGTTGCCATGGCAACGAGCCGGATCTCGCGAGAGGAACCCGGCGGAGCTGCAAGTTAGAGCTCCGCCGGGTCCTCCTCTCCTGGCGGCTGTCTCCCTCTCTCCCCGCCGGCGGCCGCATTTGGGCCGGTGAGGGAGATCTTTGATCTCCCCACCGGCCCGTCGTGGCAAACGGCGGGGCCGGCGCTAGGAGAGTGCCGGCCCTGCATAGACCGGCAGGGGAGATCCTGGGACCTCCCCTGCCGGCCTCGGCACCGCGGCCCATTTGCCCGGTGTGCCCGATGGCCAGTCCGGGCCTGTCTGTGTGTGTATGTGTCAGTGTGTATCTGTGTGTGTATGTGTCAGTGTATATCTGTTTGTATGAGCGAGTGAGTATCTGTGTGTTAGTGTGTGAGGGTATGCATCAGTATCTGTGTGTGTCAGTGTGTGCCAGTGTGTATGTGCTGGGCAGTGTATGTGCAAACATCCCAGTAATCAAACACCAAATCTACATAGAAACACATTCAAACACACACACTAAACACAAGTGCACCACTGCTTTCAAATAGCAACAGTACATACCAATACAACTTTATTCATATGCCAACACTAGACACAAATACATACATGGAACCAAATACACAAAACATGCTTACATTTGTTGTACATTATTTGTTTCTATTGCATTTAGAAGTGTTTATTCATAGAAAAATGTAATGCTCTTTAACAAATACTATAGTCTTTACATGTGTTAAATTAGCTTTACAATTAGATGGACAGGGTGAATTGAGGCTGGGGAGTGGTACACTGAGGGAGCAGATTGCTTTTCTATCCCCTGGGCATTTGCAACTGGTTATGTCACTGCTTTGATGCATGCACACACATACAAACTCTGATACATACACACACACACACACATACAATAACAAATAAACCTGCAAATGAGATAATGTTATCTTTTTACTACAAAGCATTGATACTTTTAATTTATTAAATTACAAGTTATTTGACTTATAGTTAGCAAACAGGCTATACTATATACAAGTTATATAAAGTTGTGTGATGCCTCAGTGTTGGCTGTGTGTGCGTTAACCTCTGTCTCCATGTTTCTAACCTTGTACTTCTGATAAAGACTACTGACTTTGGTAACAATTAAGCAGGTTATTCAACCCCACCCCCCAAAACTAACATTCCACGTATACAATTGGTAACATTTTGTACATGTGTTGTATTTACCCCCTCCACACATGGCTAAAAGTAGTCAATCCATCCCAGGTGGTTAGTATTAATATATTCATTCATGTTGCTGTGTGGGATCAAATGCAAGTACCTGGTAGGCAGTTGTGAATATGTATAGGGGAATGTTTATAAAGCCACATTCCTGTGGATGAACTAATGTTCTGCAGAACATCTTGCAAACAAATGTTCACAGAGAAATAATGGGTCTTGAATTATTCATTGACTTTGTTTTAACTATTAATACTATTTAACTACTTAATGATGACTAATACACTGAACAAAATTATAAACGCATCACTTTTGTTTTTGCCCCCATTGTTCATGAGCTGAACTCAGAGACTAAGACTTTTTCTATATACACAAAAAGCCTATTTCTCTCACATATTGTTGGCAAATCTGTCTAAATCTGTGTTAGTGAGCACTTCTCCTTTGCCGAGATAATACATCAACCTCACAGGTGTGGCATGCTGACTGCAGGAATGTCCACCAGAGCTGTTTCCCGTGAATTGAGTGTTCATTTCTCTACCATAAGCCATCTCCAAAGGGGTTGCAGAGAATTTGATCAGTACATCGTTCTGGCCTCACAACCACAGAATTTTTGCACAAACTGTCAGAAACCGTCTCAGGGAAGCTCATCTGCATGCGCGTCGTCCTCATCAGCGGTCTCGACCTGACTGCAGTTCATCGTCGTAACCGACTTGAGTGGGCACATGCTCACATTTGATGGCATCTGGCACTTTGGAGAGGTGTTCTCTTCACGCATGAATCCCGTTTTCCACTGTACAAGGCAGATGGCAGACAGCGTGTATGGCGTCGTGTGGGTGAGTGGTTTGCTGATGTGTGGTCTGTAACGGCACCCTCAGCATAAAAGGGTTAAACCGCCGTGTAGTAGATCTTCCCTTCCAGAGACACAAGCACAGCTACTGCAGAACACCAATCCGCCGAACAGGAAACCATATGAATGCTGAAATCAGCCGAATAGGAAAAACCATACGAATAGGTTTACACTCCTAGCAGTCGAACTGGAACAGCATACAATAAATCCCCCCTAGAACGAGACAAAGCTCCGTGTTGAGGGTCAAGCAGTGAACAGCCAGAGCTGTGGGTTTATTGTGCTTATGTACACATTCTTACACATTAGTACCACCCACAGGGTTTTGCAACACAACCAATAAACACATACAATACACTCAGACACTCCCACACAAATTCCTCCCCTCTGCCTGTGATTAAATTACCTTACACAATGGGTAATGTAATTAGCACAAGCAGAGAAATACAATTTGTCCACATTATTCATAACTTGAAAAGTATGCATTACATTCACATATAACTTACATTTTCAGAATCAGCAAACTCCAAATACAAACATACGTCAAAATCATACAAATTGGTCCAGTGGTTCAAAAGATAGATTGTAGTCCTTTGTGACCAAAGGAAGCATGTTTTTTCTGCCCAAAACCAGTTCCACAGAGTCTTCTATCCTGGAGATAATTGGGAAGTAATCCAATTATCTCCAAAGACAGAGGCAAAACTCCATTGAACACATGGCAGCAAAAGACAATAAAACACATAAAAACATATAACTGTGCAGCCATTGCACAAAACAGGTACATTCAACATATCCCCAGATAGCTCAGATCTGAGCGCACATTATTACTGAATGGCGCTCAGAGCACACACATACAGATCAATTGCCATGGAGCCAAAGTCTTTCCCATAGTCTTTCATTATACGAATAGGCTCCATGGCATAGCTATCTGGGGTATCACCGCTCAAACAGGGCAAGCACCAAATGACCCAGCTTTCATGTCTTTGCAGGGGAAAATCAAGCCTTTTAACATGGGGCCATAATCCAAAGGCAACAGGCGAGCAACCAGGCTTCTCCAATGCAATGTGGCGAGATTGGTCTTGTCACATGGTCCATGGTGGCGGTGGGGTTATTGTATGGGCAGGCGTATGTTATGGACAATGAACACAGGTGCATTTTATTGATGGCATTTTGAATGCACAGAGATACAGATCCTGAGTCCCATTGTTGTACCATTCATCCACGACCATCACCTCATGTTGCAGCATGATAATGCATGGCCCCATGTTGCAAGGATCTGTACACAATTCATGGAAGCTGAAAATATCCCAGTTCTTGCATGGCCAGCATACTCACCAGACATGTCACCCATTGAGCATGTTTGGAATGCTCTGGATCGGCGTATACAACAGTGTGTTCCAGGTCCTGCCAATATCCAGCAACTTTGCACAGCCATTGAAGAGGAGTGGACCAACATTCCACAGGCCACAATCAACAACCTGATCAACTCTATGCAAAGGAGATGTGTTGCACTGCGTGAGGCAAATGGTGGTCACACCAGATACTGACTGGTTTTCAGACCCCCCGGATCCCTCCAATGCAGTAAAATTGCACATTTTAGAGTGACCTTTTATTGTGGCCAGACTAAGGCACATCTATGCAATAATCATGCTGTCTAATCAGCATCTTGATATGCCACACCTGTGAAGTGGATGGATTATCTCAGCAAAGAAGAAGTGCTCACTAACACAGATTTAGACAGATTTGTGAACAATATTTGAGAGAAATAGGTCTTTTGTGTACATAGAAAAAGTCTTAGATCTTTGAGTTCAGCTCATGAAAAATGGGGAAAAAACAAAAGTGTTGCGTTTATAATTTTGTTTAGTGTATATAAAGTGTATAAAAGAAACACTTACTGATCACTGGTTTTAATGCGTGCACTTAGTTTTTCTGGGAGCCTCGGGCATAAGGTATTTCAATATCATGTTGCACTGAATTCTAAAGCTTTAAGTCTCTGTATAAAACTAAGGTTAGAATAGCAAGTACAAGTTTTAAGTGAATAAAGATATGATAAATACACTAATACAATCGAAAATATAAAAAATTGCAACACTCAGTAGCATTCTAACTCGGTGGGCAGGGTCCCCTAAGAAAACCGGTGGCAGGGTGGTACAAAAAGCACTACTCTCTCACCAGAGCAGGCCTCTGCCTATCAATGGCAGAGCTGAATGCAAAGTACTTGCTCTGCAAATTCAATTTGGTAGACCTCATGGCGGAAGAGGAGCTGCTGAGATCTGCCTGTACAGTGCCCTTGCTGCCCTGTACTAATGCTGAGAACTAGGTACACCAGGGATAAATATATATAAATAAAATCAAAATGAAATATGTGTGTGAGTATATGAATGTGTGTGTGCATATGAATGTGAGTATGTATGTGTGTATATATATGTGAATGTATGTGTATGAATGTGAGTGTGTGTGCCTGTGAATGTTAGTGTGTGTGTATATATATGTGTATATATATATATATATATATATATATATATATATGAGTATGTTTATATAAATGTGAGCTTCTGAGTTCATAAAATATTCTATTTTGGTGAATATTATACTAATCAAATATGTTCCAATCACATTGTATTAAGCAATCCAGTGCTCACTTTAAATGGGGGTATTTGAAATAGCAAATAAATCTGCATGCCGGGTATTTTCTCATGTGACATAGACATGAAAAAGAAAATAACCAAAAAATGAATCCAATAATCCAGAGTATCTGGAACTGGTGAGTTATATAACAATAAATTAAGAACACTCATTGAGCACAGAAGGAAGCAAAGAAAGAAAGACAGACAGGGTTAGGACAAAGGCATAATGTAAAAAGGGAGAAAGAATTTATAAAAGTACAAACATACCAATACACATAATAACCGGACTTTTTAAATTCCCCTGTATTTTCTGGGAAAGGCTAATTGTATCTTTTTAACAGAATAACAGACATTCTGCATTTCTTAGCTACACCAGTGAAACTGTTTTTTTAATGAACAGGATCATGGATAAAAAACAAAACAAAAAAACATTGAGGTAAAGGAACATAAAGTCCCCACTTATCCAAGTGAAATACAGGTCACCAGGCATAGAAACCCCAAATCCAGTAATAAAACAAAAATTAGAAATAGTGGCAGTGCAAGCGCTCAAAGACCATAGGAGGTTTAATAAAAAAAAAAAATAGTTACAAACCTTTCTTATTCCTTTGAGATATAGGTGGACATTTGCACATATTGCATTAAACACACAGATACACTCAGCAATCCTATTATAGACAGTTGTGAGTTCTCCATTTCTACTCCATAAATATGAAAAAAGTGTTAGTTATTTGTAGTTATTTGGGGTATAAATATGTTTTACACAATTATTATTATTATTGCCATTTAAATAGCGCCAACAGATTCCGTAGTGCTTTACAATATTATTTATTATTTACTATAAATAGGACAATTACAAGAAAACTTACAGGAACGATAGGTTAAAGAGGATCCTGCTCAAACAAACTTACAGTCTATTGGAAGTAGGGTGTAAAACACATTAGGAAAGGAAATAGCAATCAAATAAGGTGGGAGTGATGCAGAGCCGGAGGAGAGAGTAAAGTGCTGCCCTTTAGGAGAGAGCAAAAGACAGGTATGTGAGGTAGAGGTTACTCTGGGAGGCCATAAGCTTTCCTAAAAATGTTTTAAGGCACTTCTTCAATGATTGAAGACTAGGGGAGAGTCTGATGGCGGTAGGCAGGCTATTCCATAGATAGGGAGCCGCACACCGAGAAGTCCTGTAAGCGTGAGTTGGCCGTACAGGTGCAAGCAGCGGATAGGAGAAGGGCACGGGCAGAGCAGAGAGACCGAGAAGGGGCATACCTATGGATCTGTGAAGAGATATAAGAGGGGCTATATTTGTTCAATGCTTTATAGGTATTGGTTAGCACTTCGAATTGACTAATATAGGATACAGGAAGCCAATGTAAGGAATAACAGAGGGGTGAGGTGTGAGAGGACAGACTAGAGAGGAAAATCAGTCTGGCATTCATTACAGACTGTAGTGGGGCAATATGGCTTTTGGGAAGACCAATTAGGAGAGGGTTACAATAATCCATGCAGGAAATTAATAGAGCATGGACAAGCTCCTTGGTAGCATCTTGCGTAAGAAAGGGGTGGATGCGGCTATGTTTTTAAGATGTAATCTACAGGATTTGGCAGCATACTGGATGTGAGGCCCAAAGGTGAGGCCAGAATCAAGTCTGACGCCAAGACAGCGCACTTGCAAGGATGGACTGATGTGGATACCACTAACATGAAGGGAGAGCGAAAGAGGAGGATCAGTATTAGGAGGAGGAAAGACAAGGAGCTCAGTATTAGAGAGATTGATTTTCATAAAGTGGGAGGACATCCAGTCAGAGATGGAAGAAAGGCAAGCAGTGACACGTTGCAGGACAGCAGGAGAGAGGTCCAGGGAGGAGAGATATATTTGGGTGTCATCAGCGTACAGGTGGTAGTGGAATCCAAATGAGGTAATAAGTTTGCCAGAGAGGCAGTATAAAGAGAAAATAGAAGGGGACCAAATACAGAGCCTTGGGGGACTCCAACCAAGATAGGATGAGGGGAGAAGGTAATATTAGAAAAGGAGACACTGAATGAGCGTTGGGAGAGATAAGAGGAAAACAACGATAGGACAGAGTCACAGAGACTGAGTGATTTGAAGAGTTTGAAGAAAGAGAGCATGAGCAACTGTGTCAAAGGCAGCAGAGAGGTCAAGAAGAATTAGTATGGAGTAGAGGCCTTTGGATTTAGCTGCTATTAGGTCGTTAGTAACTTTGATAAGAGCAGTCTCAGTAGAGTGGAGAAGGCAGAAGCCAGATTGAAGAGGGTCAAGGAGAGAGTTGGAATTGAGGAAGTGAGACAAACAGGTAAAGGAAAGTCTTTCCAGATGGTTTGAGGAAAAAGGGAGCAGGGATATGGGACGATAGTTAGAGGGGGAGGACGGGTCAAGAGATTTTTTTTTCAGGATAGGTACTACAGTGGCATGTTTAAGGTCAGCAGGGACAATGCCAGAAGAGAGAGAGCAGTTGAAGATGTGTGTTAAGTAAGGCACAAGACAGGGGAAGAGAGATATGATAAGGTGAGATGGGACAGGATCGAGTGGGCAAGTGGTGGGGCGAGAGGAAAGGTGGGGGGAGAGGAGCGCAGCCCCCTCTTGTTCAGTAGCCAGGGAGAAGGTCTGAAGGGTAGGAAAGGCATGATCAAAGTGTGGTTGAGAAAGAGAACGGCAAGGTGGGGAGAATTCTTTCCTTAGTTGTTCAATCTTGTCGGTAAAGTAGAATGCAAAGCTATTGGCTGTAAGGTTAGTTTGGGGGGTGGCCACAGCAGGGCGAAGAAGAGGGTTAAAGGTGTCAAAGAGACGCCTGGGATTGCGGGAGCATGAACTAATGAGAGAGGAAAAGTATGACTGTTTGGCACTGTATGAACACAATATGAATCTATAATGGAGATAGTCTGCCTGGGTGCGAGACTTCCTCCAGGAGCGTTCAGCACAAAGGGAGCTTCTTTGGAGGTAGCGTGTTGATTTAGTATGCCATGGTTGGGGGCGTGTCCTCCTCGAGGTGCATGTTTGGAGCGGGGCTGCAGCGTTCAAGGTGAGGTTAGTGTTATTTGTGAAGATGGCCAGTGAGGGACAGGAGAAATAATAACAGAAATCTGCAAAAAATGCATCATTCTTTTTTGCTTATGGGATAATGCTCAAAATAAAAAAACAAAACAAAACATAAATTAAAAAAAATATTAATAAAAACAAACCACTCAAAGAACAAACTCCAAAAGGAAAAAAATGTGGCACTCTATCCTTCTTAGAGTTCTGAGAATGTGGACAAGGTTTTTATAAGTGATGCATAGTCATTGGTTATTAGGACGATTGGTGTCATGAAAAATTGTGAATTGTGTTCCTATAGTAGTAACAGAGGAAAAACCAACCAAATTAAAAAGAACACTTGTTATTCATTAAAGGGTGATTTGTCAGGAATTTTATGGCAAGACATGAAGCTTCATATTTGCTTTAACCTTCTTTACTGAACCTCCCAGCAGCAAAGAAATATTTAAACATATAGATAAAAAAATCAACCAATCAGGACACATCTTGGAACATATTGGTCTGTCAGGCTCCTCCTAACTTCTCTTTCTTTGCTGCTTGCCTCCCAGGTGAGTCCAATTATAGCTCTCTCTATGTGTATATTTTATTATATTATATATGCATTGTTTTGCTTTTTTTCATAAAATGTTTTGACTACTTTAATTAGTTTTACCTTTCTGTTGTTAACATGAGGTAATTTGTGTGCTTGCTTGTCTAGCCCTTTATGACACTGATCTTTCCCGGGTCAGCCCACTGTCCAGTCCCTTCCCTGTGATTTTTGCTTAATCCCTGCTATGTTTTTGGACTTGTGCCTCACTGATCGTTTCCTCGGTAAGGTTCCTGTCAGGCCGCGCCACTGCTGTGGCTGCGGCCCGTTGTAGTCACGCCTGCGATCTGTTTCTGTGCCACCCTTTGCTCGTGTCATTGAGAGACGAGCAGTACCTGCCTTCCTCCTTCTTGCTGACGGACATATTTTATTTGGCGGTTTGTCTCCTGTTTCACACACTTTTTGTGACAGCTCCGATCGGGATTGCAGCTCTGTTAAACTGTAAGTACATTGCCCTCTGCTGGTTATTTTTATTATTAACTGTCACTATTATAGAACATTTAACTTATCATAGCCTATTTGTTTTTATTGCAGCTGCCTGTGCCTATTAGAGGGTGACCCCCTCTTGCCTCTTTCCTAAGGGTGACCCCCTCTTGCCTTATCTCACAGGGTGACCCCCTCTTGCCTTATCTCTGAGGGTGAACCCCTCTATTGTATTTATTACCTCCAGGGTGAACCCCATGTTTATTGATTAGACAGATTTCACTTTTATACTGACAGTTTAACTGCCATAACTGTGGATGAACCCCACTGAGTCCCCTTAAAAGTGACTGAATATTTTGTCCCTTGCCTTTGCTTTGTCTTGTCAAGTTTGTTAATATAAATAAATAAAAATTATAAATAAAAAAAATCATTATACCCGTTGGTATACTAATTCTGTGGTGAACCCGCTATTTTTTACTGGTCATCCTGTCGGACCAACCAGAACCTGCAATGTCTGCATAACTAAAAGCCTGGCTTCAAGCTGCAATTGCAGACTCTATCCCCAAAGCCTTAGAAGTGTTTCATGACCAGACAGCCACTACTGCCAGCATCACACAATTATCTGACTCTGATGATTCCAGGGTCTCTGATCATGATGAAGCCCCAGGTAAGCGCCCATGGAAGGGTGACAGTGCTTCTGCTGGCAAAGGCAAAGCCCCAGAAAAGACATCTAAATTGTCTCATGCCAAACCCACTTTAACTACAGAATTTGACTCCTTAAAGGGCTCAACCTCTGGCTACCACCTTTGAGTGATGGACGATTACGATGCTTATCCAGATGAGGATCTCCCACGTGACCGTTCCTCTTCTGAATTTGTTACGGAGACCTTCCTCCTACCCCAAGACCAGTACTTTCAGGACACTGATCCCATGTCCAATACTAATTTAGATACTACTAAGGATGATATCCTACTGGATACCAATGGGTGTCCACTTTTTGATCCACGCTGTATCAGACACCCTCGTTCAGCTGAATGGACACCCCCTGATCACATTGCCAAAAATTGCAGATTATGGCTTCGTAAACCTTAAGAAAAGGAAATGAGTGCACAATTAAGGGCAGAAAGTCCGCGACCTACAATCCCTGATAAGGTGGCTGTCACCCCCGAACTTGACCCACTCCTGGTCACTTTTCTAACTAAGACGGGCAAAGATCCCCGCAAAGGCATTGAAATAGGCTTGAAAGCCACACAAGATAAACTGATGGATATAGCGGGCCCGCTTATTCAGATTTTTATAATTGCTGACGAGATGCTAGCAGGTGGCAATTTCGACACACATGGTGCGTGAATGGGCACAAAGAGCATTATGCCTGTTGGATATAGCGGGCCCGCTTATTCAGATTTTTATAATTGCTGACGAGACGCTAGCAGGTGGCAATTTCAACACACACATGGTGCGTGAATGGGCACAAAGAGCATTATGCCTGTTGGGCAACGCCAATGTTGCTATTTCAAATGAACGGTGTAAAGCCGTGTTATATAAAATTAATTCCAAACTGCCAGAACTAGGCACCAAAGAACTTGGTCCAGAGGCTAACGGACTGTTATTTGGGGACAGGTTCAAACGGGACCTGAATAAATACTTATCCGTGTTTACCTCCCTCAATAAGGCACAATTATCCCTTCGCAGGATGTTTAGAACCCAGCGTTGTTCTGGGGGAGCTGGTCGCTACAGGGGCTGAACGACTGGAAGAGCTGCCTTCACAGGCTACAGGTCTTGACCATCAGATGCTTGGAATTTGGGCAATCCCCATTTCTACCACAAGCATTTTTTTTCTCTCTAGACTAGAGGATCCATCAGAGGCCATAAATCTGCTTCCCTCCGTAGCTGCTCTGCTACAGGTAATCGACTTTCCTTATTCTCAACTTCCTATAGCAGGCCGGTTAACCCTTTTTTTTTACAACAATGGTCTCTATAAACTCGGGATCCATGGATCCTTCAAACTGTATCTAGTTTCCATATAGATTTTGCAAATGACCCTCTACAGGGGTCTCCCCCTCCTCCTCTGCACATGTCTCAAGAGGACAATGCAACCCTGGAGGCTGCGCTAAACGACTTCATTTCCAAAGGTGCTTTAGAAAGTTCTCTGTCCTCTCACAGATTCGTAAGCAACATGTTTCTGGTCCGAAAACAGTCGGGAGACTTTCGACCAGTTATCAACCTGAAAGACCTAACCAATTTTATCGTTTACCGACATTTCAAAATGGAGGGTATTAATCTCCTGCGAGACCTACTCTGCGAGGGAGACCGGTTTTCCCATTTTGACTTGAAAAATGCGTAACTCACGGCTCCTATAACACCGGCCCATCGCTGTTTCCTACAATTCAGATGACATCAAGATTTATGGCAGTTCACACGCCTCCCCTTTGGATTCTGTTCCACACCTTGGTGTTTCACCAAGCTGATGAAACCGGTCATGACCTTGCTATGCTCTCAGGGGATTCAATCCATTATATATCTGGACGATATCTTCCTTATGGCCCAGGACCCAGGCACTCTACGCCTCCATACAGACATGACCACAGTTCTATTACAGAACTTGGGGTTCGTGATCAATGTCCAAAAGTCCGTCCTCACACCGTCTCAGATGGTTCAGTTCCTCTGATTCCAAATAGATTCCATTTTGGCTATCCTACAGCTTCCTGCAGTAAAGATCAGGAACATCAAAAAAGACATCAGGAAAATCCTAGCCTCTTCGACTATCCGTCTTCGCGGCTTAGCTTGCATAATCTGACTGCTCTCCACCTCTATACAGGCGATTTTCCCAGCTCCATTACATTATTATCAATGCAACGTCTAAAGACTCGCTCTTTACATCACTGTGCATCTTACGACAAACAGATCTCACTGACAGACGAAGTCCGACTCGAACTGAACTGGTGGCTACACCATATGGAATGCGTGGAACGGGAGGGCGAGCTTCGTCTCACAACCGGATTATATCCTAGAGTCAGATGCCAGCCTTCTGGGTTGGGGTGCGTCATGCGCAAATCTCTCTACTGGAGGTCGTTGGTCCCCATCAGAACGTGCACTGCACATCAATTGCCTCGAATTGATTGCCGGTTCGTTTGCGATTTGCAGCTTTACAAAGGACTCTTACAATTGTTCCCTAGTGCTGAGGATAGACAACATCTCAGCTGTTCAATATGTGATGTTGCTCTTGTTTTGTCCTTCTTGGAGGCCTGGCTCTTCTCTCTGCTTAGTGTCTTTTAGAAGAGTGTCCGATATTCAAGCATTTGACTTCCATGCTATTGATTTCACTCCCCAAGGTTTCAACATTCCTTGCCGCACTAAAACTAATTCCTTAACGATTACGTACCCTTACTTCTCTGACAAGCCATCTTTCTGTGTTGCTCGTTGTGTTCAACACTACGTCTCCTCTACATCATCTCTATGTACCCTGTGGGCCCCCTATTTATCTCTTATGTACGACCACACAAACCAGTATCTTGTCCCACGATTGCCCACTGGATTAAGTGGCTTCTCGCTTTAGCGGGCATAGATTCATCTTTTGGCGCTCACTCAGTCAGAGGTGCTGCCGCCTCTTCCGCCTTTATGGCTGGGGGATCCCCTGCAGACATCCTATCGTCCACTGATTGGTCTAGAGAATCTACCTTCCGTACCTTTTATTTTCGACAATCGTCCCATGCTTCCTTTTCTTTGTTTTCCACGCTTTAAAACAGCAAATATGAAGCCATAAAATTTGGGATTATTCTAGCTTCAGTGACTGAATAATCAAAATTTTATTATAGACAGGAGGCGAATATTTTCCCACCCTACTGGTATCCCATCCCAGATACTTTCAGGTAAAGTTTATTGTATTGTATTTATATGTTTCTCGTAAGACTTTATATTAAACTGCCTGTTTTCTGTTTGCTCTGGTTAGGTGATTTTTAATCTACCTGGTTTTAGCTTTTAGATTTTACCATAGTTTTATACTCATGATATCCATGGGGTATATCTGTGTATGTAGATATCTTGCAGACACCCAGTCCAAGTGACTATACTTTCACAATATTTCTTTGTCTTTTTAGTGTGAAGTTTTGTCTACATGAGCCACGAAGACTACGTTCCTTTGGTCTCCAGTATCGGTTCTGTTCTGGTTTACATGGCTGATCACTCATGTTTACACGGTTGACTACACTTATGATTGGCTGCATCAAGAAAGAGGAGTTGGGAGGAGCCTGACAGACTAATATGTTCCAAGATATGTTCCGATTGGTTGATTTTTTTATCTATATGTTTCTTTGCTGCTGGGAGGTTCAGTAAAGAAGGTTAAAGCAAATATTAGCCTCCTGTCTTTAATACAATTTAGACTATTCAGTCACTGAAGCTAGAATAATCCTAAATTCAAAATTAAATTAAAGCACTTTTCAGTTGTTTACGTACCTTTCTAAAGCATTCCTCTCAATTGCCAGTCAGTAATAGGTTGAAAGCATCAGCTAATGCTCTCAGCTTATCAATTGTGCCAGAGGTGAAAAGCTTCCTCACTAGTGCTGAGGGTCGAAGAGAGGGAGACAAAGCAGCAGATCAGAAGTTTGACAGGAGGACAGCTTAGGGGTTAGACTGTTCAATAAGAGTGTATAGAGGATATGACGGTGCGCAGAGTCTCTAGACCACATAAAGACTTTATTGAGATTAAGTTTTCTTGGGTACTTGTGTGTTCCTTGGCTTATTATACTAATAGAATTAACCCTGCACATTCACTAAAATGTTAGCAACAGATTGTTTATGCTTCCATGAATTTGAGGCAACACATTATTATTATTATTATTATTAATAATAATTATTTTTCTTAATGGAATAAGAGTTGTGCATTAAATAATTTAGATGCTCATTAATTTTGCATTTTTATTACTCCTTTTAGTTATGAACAACAACAATATGTGGAAAATAACCCAATATATGGAAATCTGAATCAACTAATACATGGTAAGTGAAGTCACTTTAAAAATATGAACCCCTAATTTGGACTAACAAGATGTGATACTGAGCTACTATCCAGTTATTTTCAATTTGTATAACATACCTCATGATGCCTGTCACTGATTTCCTGTGATTCTGTTCCACCCTCTTTTTGGAGAACATTTGGGTATATTGTTTAGCCTGAGGTTGCTTAGTTCAAACATTGGTGTAGACTAGTTTTTGTATTATGCTCAGCTGAAGTATCAGAATTACATAAAACAGAGAGGAAATTTGCTCACCAAGGATGATGGTGAGAATGATGGTGATAAATAATGATGGTGATAAATAAAACTTGTGAAGAAATTAAGCTAGGTAGGACATTGTTATGACTTTTAATTCTGTGATGTCTAGAGGCTCTTTCTCGAAGGATAAATTGGTGGCCGACATTACAGTCCTTCCAAAAGAGAGTAGGAACCCAGAAGCCAGATCTTTGTGCAAGCTCCTGAATGCAAACTTGAAGTTTTTCTCCAAAGTACTTGCTGAAAGGATTGAACCTCTCCTTTGTCATCTAGTCCACCAGGATCAATCAGGATTTTTTTCTGGACCAGGAAACAAAGGACAGCACTGCTCTACTCTTTAACATCTAGCATATGGTCCATCTTCAAAAGAGGCAGATGTTGATATTATCAACATATTTGCATTCTATATTTTGAAACCAGCCTCACTCCTGTTGGAGCCATAGGACAGAAGAGGGATTCCTACTGCACATTTGTTGGGCATGTTCAAAGATAGTGCTGTTTTTGAATAGCATTTATGTTGTCTGGTTGAGAGTCCCCCTCGTTTCCAGCCTGTGGACTACTTACTTCAGTATACTAAATTGCCCATTTCCATCTACACAAAAATTCTCATGTTTAACATCTTTTGGTGCTTCCAAAACATTGATTCTGGTCCTTTGGAAGAGCATTGGCCCTCCAAAGTTCCAATAATGGGTAGCAATTGTTGAGGAAATGAAGCCTATAGAGGAGATGACTGCATTCCTACACTGAGACAGGCAGACAGGAGCGGTATGACTCTACTTGATCTCTGTGACTCAATATCCTTGATGAGGAAGACCAGGAGTGGAGAGGAGAGTGTTGATGGGGTCAGTCATCTCTTTCCTGTTCCTATATCCTTTATAATTATCTTTCTTGAAATCTTGAAGGCGAGCATTAGAGGTGCGAGTACAGACAGAAGATAGACGTAAGTCTTTGGCAGATCGTAAGGGCCTAGATGGCACATACTTGTGTATAAGAGAGGAGGTGGGAGCAGCATTATGTAGCGATTTGAAAGCAAGAACCAGAATTTTAAATTGCCAGTGTAAGGGACTGACAGCAGGGTGAGGCAAGGGAGATGCGGGCGGACAGGAAGATGAGCCTCGCTGCCGCATTCAATATGGACTGTAATGGTGCAAGTTGGGAGCACTTAAGACCACTGAGAAGCGGATTACAGTAGTCAAGGCGAGAAAGGACAGTGGAATGGACACACACCTTAGTCGCATCTGGCGTTAAGTAGTGGCGGATGCGTGCAATGTTTTTGAGATGGAAATGACAGGATTTGGCGATAGACTGAACATGAGGCTTGAAGGAGAGGTCGGAGTTATAGTTCTGTTATATTGTTTATTACTTGATACTGTAAGTCAGCATACATCTTTTATCAATGTCCCCCTAGTGTGATGTATACTGCTCTTCCATTATCTTTCTTCTGCTCTTATCCCATCCCCTGTGTGGGATGTCTTTTAGTATTTTTATTACTTTCCATTTGTCTTTTGAAAAACAATCCTAAATGGAAATTAACAAATGTGTATACAGCTTCCATTGACCTGTCATATAGTGTTTTATACCCCACCTCATATAGACTGTAAGCTCATTTGAGCAGGGTCCTCTTCAACCTATCGTTCCTGTAAGTTTTTTGTAATTGTCTTATTTATTGTTAAATCTCCTACTCTGTTGTCTATTAAAAAAACTGGTTTGTGCAGATCAAAGTTACAATATGCCAGTTTTGCCTGACATATTGTGGTCTAACCAGAGCTAATTACTACAGTTTGCTAAACCAGATGCAAACATTGGCATTTCATGTGTTCATCAACTATATTACCCATCATGCTCTGCCAGCCTTCAGGATAATTTTTTATCTCAAAAATTTGTGTTGCCAAGGCTTTGCTACAGCAGAATTACGTGTCGAGGTACGAAGGAAATAAAAGTAAGCAGATATGATATGAAATTGGAGAGGTGTTCAGGTAGACTATGGGAAACAGGACACACAAAGTCTGTAAACTGTGTACAAGAAAATAAAAATATTTTTTCTACAAACGTGTACATTTTATCAACATTTGGAAATGGAAATGTAATATACCTTTGTATGATCTTATGATGTATTTGTTTTTAAAATCAATTTCGTTTAGTAATGAACAAATTGTTTCTGCTTCTTTTTAGAACATAATAATGAGGGTTGCTACGTACAGATGTCTCATCCCTATCAGAGAAACACAGATGATATTGTGGTATGTTTTTAACAATCCATTTAATTAATCTACATTAAACCTTATCTGTCTTCTCTCTGTCATAAAAATATTTGATGGTGCAATCATGCAAATAAGCACATTTTTAGCTTGACAATTAGCTATTAATTGAAAAAAAAAGTTCTAGATTCTTATAAGTAGCCCACCCAGTTGTGAACAAGAACCTCTGCAAGTTCTCCTTCTCCCCCAGAAAAACCTGAATTGTTAATTGTTAGGATAATTGAGGCACTATAAATATTCTTTAGAGTTTCTGGCCCATGTTGAAATGATAGCATCATGCAGTTTCTGAAGCTTTGTCGCCCTTACATTCATGCTGCTCCTCTCACATTCCACCACATCCCAAAGGTTGGATTGACCTCTGCTGACTGTGAAGGCCATTATGGCTGGATTTTCCATTAAAGCGGCACTGTCATGCCAAACTTACCTTTCTTTAATCAATTCCTCTTCTCTCCCTCTGTCAGTCTTGTCTGCAGTTTTCTTTAAAACATAAGGCAAAATAGGGATGCTCAGGGGTGGGGGCTTGGGGAGACACAAAAGGTCCACCCCTCATTGTGATTTAGGGCCCCCACCTGCCACTCAAGGGTGGGGGCCGGTGGGGGAGGCCAATAGGGTCCCCCGCAACATTCTCATTTAGGGCCCCCAGCAGCCGCTCATGGGTGGGGGCCGGGGGGAGGACAATAGCTCCCCCCCTCATTATTATTTAGGGCCCCCTCCTGCTGCTCATGTGTGGGCGCCGGGGGGAGGACAATAGGTTCCCCACCATTGTTAGTTAGGGCCCCCACCCACCACTCAGGGGTGGGGCCAGGGGGATGCTAGGTCCCCCCTTAAGTTTTATAGCCCCCACTTGCGCATCATGGGTGGGGGCTCGAGACGGTGGATACTAGGTTGTTTTTTTTGAACAGTGAGCAGCCACTGTTTAGTAGACATGTCCCTACTTACGGTATAGTGAGTAGGGGCAGATTATTTACTAATTCTAAGTAATCTTTACTTAGTATTAGTAAATTTGGCTGAAAGACCAATTTAGGTCTTTCAGCCTTTTGGTAGATAGCTCCCTGATAACATGAGAATTAGGGAGTTATCTACTAAGCGGCTCGAATAGGATCAGAGTTTCATTCATTCTAATGAAATTCCAATCTGAACAAAGTCCTGAATTGCAGTCTAACATGAATGGAGAAACTGTTCTCATTCTATTAGGACGCAATTCGGTAGTTTTGCCGGCGTTCTGTCTAAATGACACGACGTTCGGGAAAAGTGAAAGGAAGCATACGGTTGGAAGGCCGTAGAGGCTCTGCGCCTCTGTAAATGTTAGGAGGTGAGTATTTTGGTACAGCTGATGTATGTGTTCCCATATTCTGTAGTTGAAGTTCGGTATCATGGGCAGATATTGGCATTGCTCTAGAGTGTGGGACTTGTGAGCAGCAGATTTGTTTGTTTTTTTCCCATACCCGTACCGTCGCCTCTGTGGTCGGCAATATGTTGGTGTTTTGAGGTCTGCTTTGTTTAGGGGACCAGATTAGTGCCATAAGGGCGTGTGGTTTGACTGCGTCTTTTTCTATCGTTACCCATTGAGGCGGTGGGCTCTGACTATGGAGTGGTATCATGCTATTTAGAATGCCTTGTAATATGTTTGGAGGTTGGGTGCATTCATTGCGCCCTCGGGAGTTTTTTGGTAAAGAATGTGTGCTCTCACCCTTGGTATCTCATAGTCCCAAGTGAATTGGTTGAGTAGTCTTTGTGCTTCCTTAAAATACGTGTTCGGGAGGTGGATAGGTAGTGTTCGGAATAAGTATTGGAATTTGGGGATTATTATCATTTTTATGGCAGCTAGTCTGCCGGTCCATGAGAGGTCCTTTTTTCGCCAGCTAGTTAATGTGGCTTGAGTTTCTCTTAGGAGTTTCTGGTAGTTATCTTTATATAGGCCTGGGGTGGTGGGTGTGATGATTAGTCCTAAAAAGGTTGTCTGATTTCCACTCAAAGTTGTATTGTTTTTGCAGGGTTAGTAGCCGGTGTTTGGGCATGTTTAAGCCTAAGGCTTGTGTCTTGGTCAGATTGAGTTTATAATATACCGCAAATACTGCTATATTCCTGTAGTATTTGGAGAAATGTTGGGATAGAGCTGTAGAAGTTTGTGAGTGTAACAGAATATCATCTGCGAACAATGTGAGTTTGTACTCGTTTGATCCGACCTGAACTCCATGAATATCTGGGTTTTGTCTGATAAGTGTCGTGAGTGGTTCCAGCGCCAAAACATATAGCATCGGGGAGAGGGGGCAGCCCTGCCTGGAGCTATTGGAGATCTCGAATGGAGAGGATGTAAATCCTCCTCCTACCACTTTAGCTATCGGGTTGCTATATAGGGTTTGTACTATCGTGATAAACATATCTGGAAATCCATATTTCCTTAGGACCGCGAGGAGGAATGGCCTGTGCAGTCTGTCGAACGCTTTCTCAGCGTCTAACGAGAGAAATACACTGTGCCCCCCTCAGCGTCTGCTTTAAGTTGAGTACCTTGCGTGTTCCGTCACTGCCCTGTCTTCCCTTGGTAAACACTACTTGGTCTTGATGTATGATCGTCGGGAGAATGTTGGCTAGTCTGTGTGCATATACTTTAGCGATGATTTTTATGTCTGTGTTTAACAGTGAAATCAGACGTAGGTTTTGCCCTTTGTTTGGGATTTTACCTGGTTTAGGGAGAGTTGTGATGTGCGCCATAAGCATATCTGCTGGAATTTTCCCCTGTGTGGTGATTGTATCGTATGTTTGAAGAAGTTGTGGTGCTAGGGTGTGCACATATGTTTTATAATAAATGTTTGGGAAACCGTCTGGGCCTGGTGATTTACCTGAGGGAAGTGACATTATTGTTTGAATAATCTCTTGTTCTGAGATCGGGGCTTTTAATGTATCTGCATGATTTTGGGAAATTGGTGGTAGCAATATTTTCGCTAAGAGGGATTGTATCTCAAGCGTGGTGGGTTGGTGCGTTTGGGCATCAGCTTTAAGGGTTGTATAGTGTAGTGTAGTATTGGCTAGTTCATCAACTATGTTTTGTGGGTTGTATAATTTTTTTCCTTCCGTGGTTAAGATATATGGGCTCTTGTTTTGGGCATATTTGAGTCGTAATTGAGTGGCAAGTAGTCTGCCTGTTTTGTTGTTCTAGTTGTAGCTTCGGGTTTTGAGTTTTTGCATCATGTATGTCGTTTTTGACATCGCTATTGTGTTTAATTGATCAGTCAGGTTCTAAATTTTCTTTAGTAGGGAGTCAGTGGGTTGTATATAGTGTTGTGCTGTGGCGTCTCTGAGGTCTCTCAGGATTGTTGTTTGGTCTTTTTGTGCTTGCTTTTTAAGGAATGATGCTCGGCTTAAAAAAAGCCTTTGCATGACTGATTTATGAGCTTGTCAGATCATTATAGGGGAAGTCTCTTTATTGTTATTTGTGGAGAAGTATTCTGTAAGCTCTGTTTGGATGACGTTTCGGAAAGTGTCATCTCGCAGCAGGGATTCGTTCAATCTCCAGGGGGCATACCCTCTGGATGCAAACTCTGTCGATATGGTCATGATGTTGGGCGCATGGTCCGACCATACTATGTCTCCTATTTCACAGTGTAGGACTCTCCAGAGGAGGGGCCCGGTAGAGAGAATGTGATCTATTCTAGAGTGTGTTTTGTGGGCTTGGGAGTAATGAGAGTACTGACGGTCTGTTGGGTGTAGAGCCCTCCATGTGTCATAGAGATTGAACTCCATTATCAGTTTTGTTAAAGCCTGGCATTGTGGTTTGAGATGTTGTTTGCGGGAGTGTGAGGTAAGCGAGGATGTGTCTAAGGTAAGGTCCAAGATATGGTTTAGGTCTCCGCAGACCATCGTGTGTTCGGTTTTGATGGGCTCGAGTTTAGAGAAGACTTTATGGAGGAAGTTTCTTTGTTGTGTATTGGGGCTGTATATGTTCACTATGGTATACTTAACATCGTTAATCATGCAGAGAACTATGAGGAACCTTCCTTGGCTATCTGTGATTAGCTTGAGTAGCTCAAATGAGAGGGATTTGTGGATAAGCAGGGAGACGCCTCTGGCTTTGGAAGTATGTGCTGCGTGGAATTGTATAGGGTAGTCTTTAAGGCCAAATTTGGGGATGCAAAGTTTTACAAAATGGGGAGGGGGTAGGAAAGTTCCCTGCCAAGGGGGAGTGGTGGATGAGGGGTGCACCTTGGGGTCGTCCGTATTGTCTATACAGTACTCGTGGCTACCTGGGCTTGTGGTAGCTTGTTTGTGTAGTTTGGAGAAGTCAAAACAGTTTGTATAAGTTTAACAATAAACATAGAAACCAACGAATTCAATATTGTTGATAGATGTATTACATGCATAGAACCATGAGCCGGTGAGCTCTGCTTCCCTCCTCCCTCACTGTGTTTGTATAATATGGGTTGAGCCGGTTACCGCCATGAGGCTGTGAGTAAGTTTCCTGGGTTATGCCTGTATTGGGGACCATGGGGTTTTCCCTTATGGGGTCGAATTTGGTGCCTAGGTCTCTTTAAAGGGGGTATTCTTTATTAGTTTGTAGTTGTTTAGTATTTTTTTTTCCCCCAATAATGTATTCTGTGGTCCCCCTCTCTCATTCTGGGTGAACGGCCTTGCGGCCCCCTAGTGTATCAGGTCTCTATTATTGCATCCCCAGGTCCCTCTTATAAACTAAGATTGTTCCTGTGTACTGTGGCTTTCACGGCACCTGCCACATATTGTCAGCCAGGTGATTTTTGGTGTGCCTGATGTTCCTGACCTGTGTGTTGTGTGTGGCATAAAAGTTAGTTGTTAGGCTCCAGTAGAGGGTATAAACCTTGGGCATAGTTTGGCTTGGGGGGTGCTACGGTTGCAATACTTGCGTGTCTGGCAACCTGATTAGTATACATCAGAGTTGAAGAAAATGCAGTGCTCAGTCACGGTTTTTAGGCTTTTTTCCAGTCTTGGGTTAGTTTGGTAGGTGAGGTTATGGGTGGTTGGCGTCCTGCTTGGGAGAGTTGTAGGCCCCATGTTCGTATTGCCTTCAATCTGTTTGCCGGCATGGTCAGGGGGTTGAATTCTCCATTTCTCCACATGAGGAGTTTTGTGGGGTAGCCCCATCGGTACCTGATTTTGTGGTCTCGGAGGGTCGCCATCACCTGATGGAAGGCTCTTCTTTTCTTCAGGGTCGCCTGGGATAGGTCCGCGAATATCTTTATGTCTACAAAGTCTGGTGGTAGGCGTGTTGTGCGGCTGGTCTTCAATATTAACTCTTTCACGTGGAAATAGTGAGCACGTAACATCACATCTCTTGGTGTGGTTACCGGCAGGTGTTTTGGTTTTGGGATCCTGTGAACTCGGTCCAAAACAAGCATGTCGGAGGGAATGTCCGGTGCCACCACGTTGAAGAGGTCGCGGACGTATCTAGGTAAGTCGTCCTGTGTGATGGCCTCCGGGATCCCCTTCAGGCGGACGTTATTCCGCCTGGACCTATCCTCAGCATCTATTAGTTTTGTTTCCATGTTTTCTATAGTTTTCTGTAGGTGGGATACCTGATCTGCCAGCTCATTATGAGTGATGGCGTATTCCGCCATTTTCGTTTCTGTGTGGGTGGTTCTTGTGCCCAGGTCAAGGATATCCTTGTGGAGTGTATCCACGCTGGTGGTCCATTACTGGATCAATTTAGCCGACAGTACCTCCATTGCTTCTTGTGCTTTGGGTTGGGTCCCCTGTCTCTGGGGAAGAGCCGCCCTCATCTGATGAACCACCGCCATCCCGGACTATGGCCTGCACATGCAAAGCCGTTTGGCTGGGTTTCTGTGCAAAGAATTTGAGTTTTGCTTCCTTGGATGCGTTTTTTTTGTGCTTGCCTTGTGACATGCTTAAGCTGGCTATGTAGATTTTCATGTTAGCTTCTCAGAATTGCTTAATTGTGGAGCCCATGTGCCGCAGCAAAGATTTAAGCAGCCATCTTGCTCGGCTGTTAGCCACGCCTCCCATTGTCTTATGTTTTAAAGAAAACTAGAGCAGACAGGAAGAAATGAAGAACAGATTCTGACAGAGGGAGAAAAGAGGAATCGATTAAAGAAAGGTAAATTCGGCATGACAGTACAGCTTTAAGCAGAGTATGCACCTGCATGCTAGATAGGGGCACCATGGGTGCTTATGCTTGTTGTTATGCTTGTTGCTAAAAAGGCCAGGCTGCCCTTGGAGATTTGCTGTCTTTCCTGCAGACTTGAGATGAAGCTCCAGGACTCTGGGATTACTAATTTAAATGATTGCTATAACCCTTTGGACAGGGGGTACCTTTCTGGCATCATATACCCTACTGGACTCTCTGGGGAAGGCCCCCGTCTCAATTTGCAGTAAAAAAAAAAGTTTTTTTCTTAGTTTGAATCTAGTGCCGGATGAGGCTCCTGATGCTGATCTGACTTCAATGAGGCCACGCGCGGTCAAATCACAGACTTCTCATACAGAAGCCTGTGATTAGACCTATTCGCCGTTCATGTGAGTTTATGTTTATGCTGCTGGCCAAGAGAAAGCGAAGAATTAAAAAAAAAAAAAAAACAATGAGGTGGGAATACAATGTGGGAGGGACGGGAGAGCTATCTTCCCGTAGCAGGAACATTGCCTGCAAGGTTTTCACGTCTGTTGGCAGCGTGCAGTGCATGTTGACGACACGTTTATTATGCACAGAATTGACATTGGCAGCCTGGAAAAGAGTGCTTTGACACAGAAATTGACAAAGGCTCAGAGAGGGGCCAAAATGCTGTCTCTTCATTTTTGTTCCTAATAAAAGACTGCATTTTAGAAGAAACCTCAGGAGTGCCTGTGTATTTATCCCTTTCTATGGGAACCCTGCAAACAGTATTCATCCTTTACAGTGTGTGCATTATACTCTTGTTTCCTTGGAAAAGAGTTCTGGGCTGCCAAATTCAAATGAGTGGGAAGGGCAGGGAGTTGGGGGTACGACTAGGGAATACGACTGAAGAGGATGGACCCTTCCACTCAGACTTAACACAGAAATCAAGAGACAGTGCAGTGGTATGGGACTACTACACTCAATGCTACACCCCCCCCCCCCACTGCATATGATGCTACACATATTGGACACATACTGACACACATGGACATATACATATTCACATATGTATACATTCACACAGAAACATACACACAATGTACATACACACAAAGAGACATATTTATGTAACTTGGGAAACACATTCATATTCAAATTGATAGTGCATTCAAACACCCATTCTTTCAGTGTAGCAAACTAACCAAAACATCAGATACGCAAATACATTTGCTGAAGAACACTACATAATTAAATGGCACCTATACATGATATAGAATTTAAATGGTTTTATTGTGTTTTAGATTATACATACAACAATTAAAGACAAATATTATACAAAAACAGTACAGTACAAGAGTTAAATACATATATTATTGTTTAGTATATTTCTCAGGTTAAATAATTTGTTTAGACAATTTATATCAAAATTTACAGCTTATCTAATCAAAATAAATTATATATATTATTTATTATTAAAAAAGTGCTTACGTGCACTGTCTTCCCCTCTATCTGGACTTCCCAGCAGGACGGAGCCATTCCCCCCCCTCCAGTGCACACGCATGTGCACTACACCAGGGATTGATGCGGACTGAGTTGAGAACCGCTTAGGGGTGGAGGCCGGATGAAGTTTGCGGAAGTCCGTGACGTCACTTCCGTCAACCATCTTGGTCGGCCCCAACACTTCCGCCAACCAACACTGTCCACCAATGATATCATAAAGAGAAAATAGCGCAGAGAGAAAATAAGTTGTTTTTTATACTGTGTGAAATCTGGAATTGATATTTGTTTCCAAGATCTTGCGATAACTATTTTTGCGGACATAAGACAGCGAAGAATCAATATTTGATGATTTTTTGGGAGTTTACCCCATTTAAGGTGAAGCAGACCAGTTTCTGAGGATTTCTTTAGATTTATATTAAAAACTGACATAGAGGAGTATATTGAGTCCCAGAATGTAATTATTCTTGGACAGTTCCACCAAATATGTATCATAGACCCTTCCTGAGCTAAACATCTCCAGCAGAGTGGGGAATTAGTCACAGATATATTAACCAATCTAGTTGGAACTAAGTACCATCTGTGAAGTACTTTAAAAAAAATTCTATAATATTAAGGCAATATATATGCTTTTTAATTAATCTCAAAGGGGAACACCATACCTTGTCTGTAATTGTATGGTTCAAATCTTTTTCCCATTTCTTTTTAGCTGAAGGTTCTATACTTGAGTAAGATTGTCTAATTAATTCCATAGCTATAGAGCTAACTGCTTTAATCTCCCTTCTTTTAAAGATTGTATGTATTAGGTTATTCTTCTCTCCTTCAAGCTTTAGGAGGAATTTATTTAAAAATCTCTCACTCTTAAATAAGTGAAAATTTCTTTATCTGAGATATCCAATTTTGATTTTAAGTTTTTAAATGGACTCAAATTAAAATTTCGGAGGAGTTCCTCAATAAAAATTTCCTTACGAGCTCTACATGTGCCATGATTTAAGTCAGGCATGACTCTTTTAAGGACTCAAATGTTAGCTCCCTCAAATATTTTATTGGCTATATTGATATTCTTTTTTTTATTAATTGCCATTCTTCTATAAGATTGTTTACAATACTTGAGTGAAATTGCATTAAATGATATTTAAGATTAGTAAAATCATCCCATATCAGAAGAGCCAAGCCTTTTTCCTCTATTCTAAATGTTTCTATCTTAAACTAGGCTGACTCTCTCGAGTTTTGGATCTGAAATATATGAATATGGGTGATAATGTTGGCCCTATATATATCCTTTATTAAAGGGTATCCTATATCTCCTTCATTACTTTTTTTTGTTAATGTTTGAGATTTAATTCTTGGAGTCTTTCCTTTCTATATAAAGTTGGATAGAGAATGCTGGACCATATCTAATCAAGGCTTTGGAAATTTTAATGGAATCATATTAAACAGATAAGCCCATTTCTGCCATTCCTTAAGGATTCTATTAGTATATTTTATCATTTTCAAAAAATTGGCTTTGACTATGTCTTTTGGGTTTGCTGTTTAAGGATTCCCAGGTATTGCAAATCTTTCTTAGACCAATGAAAATTGTAATTATCTTTTTAAAAGACTCAAAGAGGAAGGATTAAGATTTATAGTCAAAGCTGTTGTTTTATGGATATTAATTTTGTAGTTGGAGATATCCCCATATTTTTGGATCTCCTGCATTAGGTGATCAAGTGACATAGAAGGTTTAGTAATAGAAATCAAAACATTGTCCGCATACAAACAGATTTTAAATTCAAAGTCATCTTATGTCAGAGTTGTTTCTAATAGTAATCGCAAGCGGCTCAATAGAAAGAACATATAAGAGGGGAGACAGGGGGGGCAACCTTGCCTAGTCCCATTTGTAATATCAAACCATTCTGTACAAAAGTTAGATCCCACTATTCTGGCTGTTGGACAAGTATATAAGACTCTGATAGCATTTGCTATCCATCCTTCGAGCCCAAATGCTGGTAAGGTTTTCTTCATATATCACCATCCTACCCTGTTGAAGGCCTTTTCTGCATCCACCGACAGGGTCAGAAGGGGCGTCCCTGAGGATTGAGCGTATTCAAAGATATCAATCATCCTACGTGTATTATCACTAGAGTGACGGCCATTAACAAAACCTATTTGATCGACATGGATCAAATCAGGAAGTAGTGGAGTTAGTCTATGGGCTAAAACTGAAGCATAAATCTTGACATCTGTGTCAATTAGTGACATTGGTCTATAATTCGTAATATCTGTTGGAGGTTTATTCAGTTTCAAAATAGGTTTTATGTTGGCTCTTAATAATTATTTTGTTATGTTGCCTGTAGTGCCAGTTTCATTGATATTGCTGTTAATTTTGATGAAATAACATCTTTAAATATTTTAAAGATTACATTTGAGAAGTCATCAAGGCCTGGTGTTTTTGAAGTTTGAAGATTGTTTATAACTAAGTTCACTTCTTCCTTTGTTATTTCTTGATTTAGTTTCTGTTTTTGTACTAAAGTGATTTTTGGAAATTTATTTTTTTTCGAAATATTTATCAATGGCCGCCTCTAAAGGGCTATCTTCTAAGTTATATAGCTTCTGATTATATTTCCTAAAGGAATTACAAATACTATCTGGGGTCAATAAAACATTATCTCCTTCAATAATTTTATAGATCTTGTTATCTACTTTGTTTTTTTTAAATCTATTTGTTAATATTCTGTCAACTTTATTGTTGCGATAATAATTTTAAATTTTAAGTCTTTTCAAATTAAATTCAATCTTCTCAAGGGTCTTTTAGTTTATCATATTTTCATATTGTTTAATGAGATCAACATTTTCTTGTGAATATTTCTCTTTATTCTGGGCTATTAAATTATATAGTTTTATATGAAGGTCTAACAAGGCCAATCCCTCATTCTTTTCTTTCTTGACTTGCTAATTTTATCAAATGACCTCTGATTACAGCCTTGTAGGTGCACCAAAGATAATTGTTAGATGTATGTTCTGGTAGAATTTCATCAAAGAATTTTTTTTATATAGTCTTTGGGTTTTTTTTGGTTGCTAATATAGGCTTAAGTCTCCATGGTGGAGGATGTTTTCTCCCTATTTCTTTTATTTCCAATATAAGAATTTCATGGTCAGATCATGTATTAACTTTTTTACAAACAGATTTTACTTTTTTAACTAAATCAGAATCTCCCCAACACATATCATGATAAAATACTTAACTTTTATTGAGGCTCATTTTATTTTTATCACAGAAATGCACATTAGTGGGTAAGTGCCAGCAGACAGCATCCAGAAAGCTTAACTTAATGCGTTTCACATCTCATGTAGCGCTTACTTATGAGCAGTGATACACAGTGCTTATGAGTAAGTACTGTAACGGATCGCCTGGCACCCCGACTGGGTACCTCAGTTGAAAGATGCTCCTAGCGCTTCCTGAGGACTCCAAGCACTGCAGCAGACACCACAATCACCGAACCAGAGAAGCGTTTACCTTCTCTCAAGCATATGAATGCTGTAGAAAGTTGAATAGGAACCATACGAATAGGTTTACTCTCCTAGCAGTCAAACTGGAACAGCATACAATAAATCCTTCCCCCAATAATGAGACGACACTTCACTTTGAGGGTTAAAACAGGAACTCCCTGTACTGTCACATACAGTCTCTTTTATTCCCAATCCACAAACATAGTACAGCCCACAGGGCGTTACAAAACAGCCAATCAATCCATACAATACACCCAGACACTCCCACACAAAATCCTCCCCTCTGGCTGTGATATGATTACTGAGCCAGAGAAATACAGTTTCATAAAACACATCACAGGGACCCCAAAACATGCAATAACCCCATAAAAATATATCCTTGGAACTGGGGGATCTGGGTGAACCACATATCCAAAATTCACCCAGAGCCGTTCAGTACTTTGGAAAATACAGTTTAATGCAGATTCTGCAGAACATATACAGGCTAAATAAAAACAATCACTGTATAATGTGTCCCCTGCTGTATAGTCCAAAACCACCGCACGATGTCTCTGTGCAACAAATACTGGCGAGATGGCACCGTGTTGAAAAGTCCACACAGTGTCTGTGAGTTAAAATGGCCGCCATCCATTGTTCTCACCATGTGCTTCTGATACAGGAAATGGTGGCCACCCAGTAACTCCACAGTGTGTCCCCAGATGGTTCTTAAAAGGGCTAGCAGCAGCACAACACAAATCCATTATGCACAAATCATGTCTTTAAAGGGCAATACATCCCAGGGGCCATAGTCATATGGCAGGAGGCTGGCAACCAGGCTTCTCCAGTGCATAGTGGCGAGGTTGGTTCCGCCACAAGTACTATCTCAGCTGGTGTTTTTCAGTTACCAACAGATATGTACTGAAAAAAAAAAACTTCTAAAAAAGGTAACTAATACATACTTTTAGCTCAGTAATAGCCAGGTGAATATAATGATAGGTTAATAGGCACTTCACATGTTTTTTTGTTTTTTTTTAGTTCTTAAAACCAGGTTACTGTTTTGGACATAATATAATTAAATTCTAATAGTCAAAAAATTGGCTGTTAGAAAATAGATAAGAGGGAATAAGACAAACCATTAGTTAAAAAAGCTCTTAAACTGGAAAGACAGGATCTCATCAAATCCTATACATATATACAGACAGATAGATTAAAAAATATCCAGGAGCTTATATTAACACTGACATAAACACATATATTATTCAAACAACATGGAAATTGGATGGCTTGATAATAATATTATTCAAGGAGTCCAAATAGTGACTTGTGCACCAAATTAGTCCGAAAAAGAAAGAGAATACAATGTATCATAAAAAACTCTAACTTGCAAAGATATCCTTTGCAAGATTAAACGAGGTTGATATGAATTTGATTTACATTCATATAAGAAGGTCTTAGCATAAGAAAAAAGTAGAAAACTGAAAAAATTAACAATAAAAATAATAATAAGATCGGGCTTGTTAGTTTAGCAGACCAACACCCTAGTTAATAGTCCAGAGCAGAAAACTGGGATAGCTGCCAGAAAATATAACTGTGACAGCTAAGAAATGTATCCAGTGGTTACCAGGAATCTCTTCTCTCTAACCCGTGTGTGGATTCAGTAATCTGCAGCCTTACGCGTTTCATAGGGTACTGCCCTACTTCATCAGATATGCCTCTGATGAAGTAGGGCAGTACCCTACAAAACGCGTAAGGCTGCAGATTACTGAATCCACAGACGGGTTAGAGAGAAGAGATTCCTGGTAACCACTGACGTTTTCTGTTTGGAAAACAGCGTCATCCTGGAGGCTTACCTCTTGATGTGAGATCAGAGAGACAGTTCCGAGGACGCGGACGCCGCCCTCACCGGCTCTGCATATTGGATTTGGAAGGTGAACACTATAATCCTTAGCCATCCAGAAGAATCATTCAGGTTATACCAGTTCTCTATTTTCTCTCATGCAGATATACCCTTGTGGAACATTTCTGATTTAATATTTTTAAGGTTTTTTAAAATTATTTGATGTTATTGATTTTGATGCAAATAAAATTTATATATTTTTAATATTAACTTCTATAAGTACGTTTTTGACACAAATGGACACATTTTTTATAATACCAATTGGATATTAAAACGCAACAACTCGGGATACATTTCTTAGCTGTCACAGTTATATTTTCTGGCAGCTATCCCAGTTTTCTGCTCTGGACTATTAACTAGGGTGTTAGTTTGCTATACTAACAAGCCCGATCTTATTATTATTTTTATTGTTCATTTTTTCCATTTTCTACTTTTTTCTTATGCTAAGACCTTCTTATATGAATGTAAATCAAATTCATATCAACCTCGTTTAATCTTGCAAAGGATATCTTTGCAAGTTAGAGGTTTTTATGATACATTGTATTCTCTTTCTTTTTCGGACTAATTTGGTGCACAAGTCACTATTTGGACTCCTTGAATAATATTATTATCAAGCCATCCAATTTCCGTGATTGTTTGAATAATATATGTGTTTATGTCAGTGTTAATATAAGCTACTGTTTTGGACATGTTTTATACTACTAATTCAATTTTATGTTAATGGAAATACTGCACATTCTGGTTGGCTGTAGTTTAACTATATTTACTAAATTACGTTGAATCATATTTGTTTGCTAGATTACTGAATTTCTATTTTACAGGTGGTCTCTGAAGAAACAATGTGCTATGCAGCACTGGACCTCAGCCCCAAAAATCAAAAGATGAGCCAAAAGAATGCTATGGCAGTAAACACTCAAAGCTGCGATTTAGACATATCATCTATGAACAGAGAACACCTTTTATCTAGATCCAGCATTTATCTCAATACTGATCAGCTTAAAGCTGAGATTAACAATGATGACAATTTGATACATGATGACCCCATCAGACTTTATAATATGATAAAGAAAGCAAGACAAAACGTGACTACAGAGGACCAAAGTCAGGCAGACTGATATTCTGGGACATAATTCTTTGTTTTGAAGGAATATACTCTAACATTATTCTTGACTGCAATAACATATTTGAAACATTTGGATTAAACAATCAGGAGATATTTTTCAGAAACCACTTACTGAAGGTTCATGATGGGCATGCCTTGGCAGGGAACCTCCTATATACTATAGGGTTGTTTATCTACAATCAAAGCTTTATTTAAAAAAAAATTAATTAAAAAAATAATGGCATTATAGGCATATCTAAAGGTAATTTACTCAACATGAGGTTTGTATGGGTTGAGAAACAAGGGAATCTTTACAGTGATTTTGTTTATGTTTAAAACCAAATAAAGATTTACATGTGATTTCCATTGATGCAACTAGAGTCCACGGTTGTGGAAAACCATTTTCTCTGTGAAATACCAATAAAGGAGCTCTTTAATGAATGAATTGGTTATGGTGCCTGGATTCCGAGGGTGCTAGATCTGGCATCAATACTAAACAGCATACTCACCACTTAGAAGAGATTCTTGGTCCATGGAAAACAAAAGCATGTTCTCCAGTGATGAAATGGTGGAGGTAGAGCTATGTTCCACTTCACAACATACCAGGGATAGTGGTCACTGATTGGCGGAGAGCACCAGCTGAGCTCTTTCAATAAATCACTTCCACAATACCTGGTATGAACTGGTATGGTGCTAAGTTGAAACATAACTCTACCTCCCTCATACCGTCATTAGCAGGTTGGCTTTGGGCTGCCGGGGGAAAGAGTCTTTACTAAACTGTGAGTTAACTGTTAAGCATTGATGCAGGACTTGGTGCCTACAGAATAACAGTTGTAATAATATATTTTTTTTGTAAATATTCACCAGCTGTTTATATTTAAAGTTGTACAATTGTCTTGTAATGGTTGTAATGCGGACTGTAAGCTTTGTGATGTAATCTCTTACATAATCCTGGAATGTCTCTAATATAGAAATAAAAATAAAATCAACTGTGTTGTTTGCTGATGTCCTTCAACTATTTTTTGAGAGTACCTTTTAATATTCAGTCGTCCAGGGTTATTCACTAAAGTTAGAATTCAAGATAAATTCGAAGTGAATTTCAAATGTATAGCTAGTACAGCTGACCATGAGAAGTTTCCCAGTTCAGCTAATTTGATCTTAAATTTAAAATTCACTTTGAATTCTCACTTTAGTAAATAACCCTGATGGCTGAAGATCAAAACAGGCAAGGGTTATTTTCTAAAATCTGGATTTTAGCAAATTACATTTGAATGTCAAAACGAAGACACAGGATGCGCCAAATAAAACGATTAGCTGGGATAAAAATATTAAATACAATAAAAAGGTACCAGAAGTAAGCAATAAAAAGTCTTAAAATCACAATTGTCTTCGAGTGTTTATATGATGTCTTTGATGTAGCTCAAATCATCAGCAGCATATGAAAAAGAGCAAAAACAGAGAGAACCAATAGTGCAATATTGTAGGTAAATCCGGCTACAGACAACACTGAGGTTAAGAAGTGTCAACTCTCATATTAGAGAACTATAACCAGCTCCAGGTAAAACAGCATGCAGTGGTATTTAAACTCCCCACTTGTAGGATATCACTCTGATGGTAGTTGCAGTGTAGGTCATATACAATAAAAAAAGAAAAGGCCAATAGTGCTCTCTATTTTAGTAAGTACAGGTGATAAGAGATATACTTAAAGTATAAAAAGCAGACAAACTGCTCTATGTGCCAGACATGGGTGGAACAATCCCCACCCACTTTTGATGATGGATCAAGTGCTCCAGATGATAGAATATGCCAGGTATAAGTAAAGTAAAATAATACAAGTATAAAGACTGACCCAGGGGTCCTCTTTCCCAGCAAACATTCAGTGAGACTATGTGAAACACATGGCAGGCATGTGTAGAGCAAAATACAATGCAGACTTCCCTATGAGATAAAAAGCTTTTAGACTTCTGTGCAAGCACCACCTCTGTTAGTAACCCTGTGTCAAGATGCCAAGAGATGACTGTGCATACGCTATTCAGTGGAATGCACAAAACTTTATTTAAACAATACAGCTAAACAATACTATACAAATTCACACTATATTCACATTTCCATCATTGTGGACTCTACCATATACATTGCTATTCTTGGTGTATATAAAACTTGAACATGTATGCATACAATTCCATATTCACGTGTGGTTGTGCAACCTATAATATCATTTTAAATCACAAGCAGAATACACATGATTTTACAATACACATTTCCCATATACATGTTAATAAATGCATATATAAAAGACAAGGTATAAATAGTAATGTATATCAGAACAGATGAAGTATGTAATTTGTGTACAGTTCAAATGGCTCATGACAATGTCAACTGTATGCTTGCAAGGAACCTAAATATCAAATTGGGTAACTAGTGACAATAGTATACACTAAGCAATATTAGATAAGAGGCATAACGGAAACATTAGGTAAATACAACCTCAGATGTCTGTGCTGCCTTTGTGGTGAGTTTGTGCTTGTAAGGGAGGTGTGCAATCAGAAGACAGGCCCTTAGACTCTGTCATTGGGCTCCTGGAAAGGAACACACTCAGACAATGTTCTAAAGGAAATGGATCCATTGTTTTTAATTCAGGGCTACACTTTAACAATGCTGCATTAAACTTATTGTGAGAGATTCAAAATAGTGCATAAACTATAAAGATAACAATAAAATACAATAACTGTCAGTCAGAAGAAACATATAATATCTCCTGAATTTCACAGCATATGCAAATATATGCAAATCATAAAGTCATTGCATAGTACATTGATTATGGATTGCACTACATCAAAGTCCATGGTGTTAGGCATATGGATTGATATATATTTTCAGGGCTGAAAGAGGGATGTCTCTGAGTAAGGAGGTAGTCTGCCAGCCTCTCTGAATGGTACTGTTACACTGAGATTTTTTATATTTTAGCTGTCAGTAATTTGCCAATATAGAACAAAATATACACATAGACTTCTTAAATACCTAATTGTGCTATTTGCATTTCATTTGGGATTTTTAATGTCAAATGATTGTTTATTTATTTATTTACAGGGAGTGCAGAATTATTAGGCAAATGAGTATTTTGACCACATCATCCTCTTTATGCATGTTGTCTTACTCCAAGCTGTATAGGCTCGAAAGCCTACTACCAATTAAGCATATTAGGTGATGTGCATCTCTGTAATGAGAAGGGGTGTGGTCTAATGACATCAACACCCTATATCAGGTGTGCATAATTATTAGGCAACTTCCTTTCCTTTGGCAAAATGGGTCAAAAGAAGGACTTGACAGGCTCAGAAAAGTCAAAAATAGTGAGATATCTTGCAGAGGGATGCAGCACTCTTAAAATTGCAAAGCTTCTGAAGCGTGATCATCGAACAATCAAGCGTTTCATTCAAAATAGTCAACAGGGTCGCAAGAAGTGTGTGGAAAAACCAAGGCGCAAAATAACTGCCCATTAACTGAGAAAAGTCAAGCGTGCAGTTGCCACAATGCCACTTGTCACCAGTTTGGCCATATTTCAGAGCTGCAACATCACTGGAGTGCCCAAAAGCACAAGGTGTGCAATACTCAGAGACATGGCCAAGGTAAGAAAGGCTGAAAGACGACCACCACTGAACAAGACACACAAGCTGAAACGTCAAGACTGGGCCAAGAAATATCTCAAGACTGATTTTTCTAAGGTTTTATGGACTGATGAAATGAGAGTGAGTCTTGATGGGCCAGATGGATGGGCCCGTGGCTGGATTGGTAAAGGGCAGAGAGCTCCAGTCCGACTCAGACGCCAGCAAGGTGGAGGTGGAGTACTGGTTTGGGCTGGTATCATCAAAGATGAGCTTGTGGGCCTTTTCGGGTTGAGGATGGAGTCAAGCTCAACTCCCAGTCCTACTGCCAGTTCCTGGAAGACACCTTCTTCAAGCAGTGGTACAGGAAGAAGTCTGCATCCTTCAAGAAAAACATGATTTTCATGCAGGACAATGCTCCATCACACGCGTCCAAGTACTCCACAGCGTGGCTGGCAAGAAAGGGTATAAAAGAAGAAAATCTAATGACATGGCCTCCTTGTTCACCTGATCTGAACCCCATTGAGAACCTGTGGTCCATCATCAAATGTGAGATTTACAAGGAGGGAAAACAGTACACCTCTCTGAACAGTGTCTGGAAGGCTGTGGTTGCTGCTGCACGCAATGTTGATGGTGAACAGATCAAAACACTGACAGAATCCATGGATGGCAGGCTTTTGAGTGTCCTTGCAAAGAAAGGTGGCTATATTGGTCACTGATTTGTTTTTGTTTTGTTTTTGAATGTCAGAAATGTATATTTGTGAATGTTGAGATGTTATATTGGTTTCACTGGTAATAATAAATAATTGAAATGGGTATATATTTGTTTTTTGTTAAGTTGCCTAATAATTATGCACAGTAATAGTCACCTGCACACACAGATATCCCCCTAACATAGCTATAACTAAAAACAAACTAAAAACTACTTCCAAAAATATTCAGCTTTGATATTAATGAGTTTTTTGGGTTCATTGAGAACATGGTTGTTGTTCAATAATAAAATTAATCCTCAAAAATACAACTTGCCTAATAATTCTGCACTCCCTGTAATTATTATTACTCTTTATTTTTGTTGTGCAGGGTCCCAAACAGGCTTGCTATGCCCCAACAACAGAGCAAGCTTTTTAACAACAGACATAATAAATCCTCGTGTGGCATTGAGAGATGTTGCACTTTAAAAAAAAAAATAATAAAAACAAGATATGCGAATACTTCTGATGCGTAATAATGACAGGCTAATTATCATAGTTACAAAATAAAGAAAGTGGGAAAAACAAACACATATAAAAATAAATACAACCTGGAAAAATCTGGAAATAATCCAATTAGGATATATAAGAATATCTATGAAATAATCACAAAGAAAACATAGCGTATTACGGTTAAAAAAAAAATAGTTAGTAGTAGGTAGAACACTCACAAGCACATATTATTATTATTATTATTGCCATTTATATAGCGCCAACAGATTCCGTAGCGCTTTACAATATTAAAGGAGGGGGAAATTTAACTATAAGTAGGACAATTACAAGAAAACTCACAGGAACAATAGGTTGAAGAGGACCCTGCTCAAACGAGCTTACATTCTATTATAAGCTTTAATAAACTTGCAGCTACATTTGCTAACTCAATAGGATTTGCTTGCTTTCATGTTATGTTAGCTTGTAATTTCCTGTGATCTATGATAACTGTATTCAAAAGGCAACACTTTTTTTTAATTGCAAAAACTGCTTAGCTTAAATGGAAATGTGTATGTGCCCACAAAGGTTACATTTGCTTGAAAATGTCATTTGGGGAGTTGAAGGAGGAGGGGAATTCACAAGACTAATTAAGTTCTTTGCCGAGGTTTCCTGGACTAGAAGTAGCTCCCATGTCTTCATTTGTGGGAGAACTTCACAAAGCCTTGCAATGCTCCTACATAAACCAACTCATTTGAGAGCTCCAGCACATACTGAACTGTATCTGCAAACCATAATTTTTTGGTAAAACTTGCAATAAAGTGTCATCCAGCCTGGTGACCTTACTCACATCAAAGTGTCCTATAATAATCCAGCTAGATACAAGGATACAAGGTGACATCAAGCAGTGAGTGGTCTCCACATCCAACATAATGGGAAAGCAATAGTGCAGTGCCCCAATGGCTAGGTTTGTAAGTTATAAAAGTATCCTACTTACATTTGCACAAGCAAGGAAACCTGCGGTAGTGTTGTTAGGCATTGGTGGTACAATCCCCACCTAGGATTAGAAGAATCAAATATTATTTATGTTATTATTATTTTACTATTATGCTGTTTAATTTATGAATTTCTTCTCAAATGTACTTTATTTACTATCATCAAGTGCTTATACATCTCTTGTTACCACTAATAAGAGTTTAAGTATGGATTACAACATGATGTATATCTTGTTTTCTTTCTTTCTTTCATTCTTTTCTTTCTTTCTTTCTTTCTTTCTTTCTTTCCTGTAT